CACATACCGTTATTGGGGAAGCAGTACTCGTCGTGGGGCAGAAAGAAGCGCTCGCACTCGAGCGCACAGTCACACCGGAGTCCACTCAAATCGCGGCATACCATCATTGGGGAAGCATCACCCTTTATTGGCCCGTTACTGGGCCACCATCACCCCTCCCCTCACACATACCGTTATTGGGGAAGCAGTACTCGTCGTGGGGCAGAAAGAAGCGCTCGCACTCGAGCGCACAGTCACACCGGAGTCCACTCAAATCGCGGCATACCATCATTGGGGAAGCATCACCCTTTATTGGCCCGTTACTGGGCCACCATCACCCCTCCCCTCACACATACCGTTATTGGGGAAGCAGTACTCGTCGTGGGGCAGAAAGAAGCGCTCGCACTCGAGCGCACAGTCACACCGGAGTCCACTCAAATCGCGGCATACCATCATTGGGGAAGCATCACCCTTTATTGGCCCGTTACTGGGCCACCATCACCCCTCCCCTCACACATACCGTTATTGGGGAAGCAGTACTCGTCGTGGGGCAGAAAGAAGCGCTCGCACTCGAGCGCACAGTCACACCGGAGTCCACTCAAATCGCGGCATACCATCATTGGGGAAGCATCACCCTTTATTGGCCCGTTACTGGGCCACCATCACCCCTCCCCTCACACATACCGTTATTGGGGAAGCAGTACTCGTCGTGGGGCAGAAAGAAGCGCTCGCACTCGAGCGCACAGTCACACCGGAGTCCACTCAAATCGCGGCATACCATCATTGGGGAAGCATCACCCTTTATTGGCCCGTTACTGGGCCACCATCACCCCTCCCCTCACACATACCGTTATTGGGGAAGCAGTACTCGTCGTGGGGCAGAAAGAAGCGCTCGCACTCGAGCGCACAGTCACACCGGAGTCCACTCAAATCGCGGCATACCATCATTGGGGAAGCATCACCCTTTATTGGCCCGTTACTGGGCCACCATCACCCCTCCCCTCACACATACCGTTATTGGGGAAGCAGTACTCGTCGTGGGGCAGAAAGAAGCGCTCGCACTCGAGCGCACAGTCACACCGGAGTCCACTCAAATCGCGGCATACCATCATTGGGGAAGCATCACCCTTTATTGGCCCGTTACTGGGCCACCATCACCCCTCCCCTCACACATACCGTTATTGGGGAAGCAGTACTCGTCGTGGGGCAGAAAGAAGCGCTCGCACTCGAGCGCACAGTCACACCGGAGTCCACTCAAATCGCGGCATACCATCATTGGGGAAGCATCACCCTTTATTGGCCCGTTACTGGGCCACCATCACCCCTCCCCTCACACATACCGTTATTGGGGAAGCAGTACTCGTCGTGGGGCAGAAAGAAGCGCTCGCACTCGAGCGCACAGTCACACCGGAGTCCACTCAAATCGCGGCATACCATCATTGGGGAAGCATCACCCTTTATTGGCCCGTTACTGGGCCACCATCACCCCTCCCCTCACACATACCGTTATTGGGGAAGCAGTACTCGTCGTGGGGCAGAAAGAAGCGCTCGCACTCGAGCGCACAGTCACAGGACGACGGCAGGAAGCACGGCATCTCCACTCCCCACGCGTACCGGCACGAGGGTAACCCCAACTCCGTGCAGTCCATCCCCGTGTACCCGGGTAAACAGTCGCATCTACCCGCCTCCTCGTTGCAGGAGCCATGGCGGGAGCAGGCGGGCGGACAGCGCGAGGGGAGGAAGGATAGGCCGTCGGGCGGAGGGGGGATGACGGAGAAAGGGGAGTGGAAGTGCTTGGGCCATTTGGGGAGGGGCGCGAGAAGGAGGAAGAGGGAGAAGAGGATAAGAGCGAGTAGGAGCTTCGGAAGGGAGATGGAACGCGGGGAGAAGGAGAAGGGGAGGTGGAAAGGGAGGCGGAAGGGGAGGGAGGAGGGGGAAGAGTGAGAAGGTCGCGAGGGGAAGGAGGAGAGGGAAGCGGGATGGAAGGCGGCGCGAGGGGAGGAGGTGAAGGGCCAGAGTAACCGTGAGTAGGAGGGGGACCAGGAGGGGAATGAGGGGAGCGAGAAGGAGGGGGATTTGGAAGGGGTTGCAAAGAACGGCCGCGAACGGAAGGTGGCGGCCGGGCGAGCGGTTGACGAGGTGGCGAAAGAGGATCCGATGTTCAGGCTGGGCGGGTTACCACTCGGCTTCATCGCTCGTATACCCGCGCCGCGGGGAGTTCGGAGTGGGGTTCCGGGGGGGGGGTTGGGGGAAGTGGAGGCGCGGAGAGGGGAGTCCGAAGTGAGTGATGGGGGTTCGGGGTGGTAAGTGGGGAGGGTGGGGAGGCGAACCCGCCGACGAGTGGAAGAGAGACCGGATCTGGCTGTAGCGAGTGCAGGCGTCACGCTCCGTTGATAATTACGCGCGAATTCCTTACGAAAATGATGATGGAATGACGGCCGGATGATCCCCTCACCCTTGTCCGAAAACCGTGCTGCAGACAGATAGGGAATTTGCTTTTATAGAATTCTTGAGAATTCTTAAGAAAAATCGTCTCCTGTCGCTCGCCGATCGCGTTGCAGTAGGAAAGGCTTTTCGCGCTGTGAGGTACGCTGTTATTTTTGAGTTGACTCAAAAGTCGACTTCAGACGCCGGCCAGCTGTGCGCGTCGTTGATTCTTTAAGACGTCGCGAAAAAGGACTAGCGGCGATTCTACTCCGTCGTTTCTAGAGGCTACGTAAATGCCATCCGTCGATCATGACGTCGCCCCACGCGCACCTAAGAAAACCACAGCGAGAAATAAGAATCTTTAAACTGAAGTACCAGGACTGAAATGCCGTGACAGAGGGAGCGCTTGTCTGCTTCGACGTTGCCTGCTTTCCTTCGAGCCGCTGCTTGTCCCCGAAGCCTACTCGCGTACACTGCTCACCAGCGTGACGCGATTACCAAATGACGTCACCCAGCAGCGATAGGGAATTGTGCACATGGCGAATATTGGCTGCTTCAGCCGCAGCAGCTAAGTTTGTCGACGCAGAAGCAGCAGCAGAAACTATTTTAGTCGCAAAATGGTATTGCAGCTTGTATTGTAGCGTTGCATGAGGGACTCGAAAGGAGGGTGGATTTGATGCTCGAGCCGACCGACAGTCATAAAAATTACCTCGAATAATCCGGAAAATGCGTAGATGCGTTAGCGTGTGACTGTATCGGTGAAAGTGAAAAGGATGGCAAGATCGGTGTGGAGGTGGTGCCTGTTGCTCGATTGTAGATGTTTCGATTCGTCAACAGAACAGTAGATTGTGCAGCGAATGTTAAAGGAATTTAGGGTTACAGTATGAGTAAGATTTACACAGATCTACAACTTACAACATACATACACAATCTACGATGCCATCAGGCCTGGCCTGCAGGTACTTTCCCTCGGTACTCTGTCTCTCACTTCACTCTGACGCAGCGCCAATCGCGTCGTCTTTAGTCGGAGCCATTTTAGGGCTCGAAGTAATTCAGTTGCGGATCTTAGACAAGTAAATGCAGGGCTGCGAATTGTTACTTTGATACTTGATTTCACGCAGGTCGCAGTCTCATGTGACAAGCAGCTTCTATCCATTGTCATGGCTATACCCGATTAATAGTTAGTGCACGATCCGAGCTCGCCTTCAGTTTCTGTCTCGCTAGCTCCTTTAATCTTTGTCTCGCTAACTCCCCGTGCATGGTGGTGCGCTTCATTGAGACAGCCGCATCATTATTGAAACGTAATGTTTTTCTAGGATACGTGATTACGCCAGTCGAGTGTTGAGCAGGGAAGCCTCGCCATGGCTCCTTCTTCCACTTCGTCAGGCCTTGTCAGCACCGTCCGATTTAAGTATGCGACGGAGCAGCAGGTTCAGCGATGGCGCACGTCGTCGGATCCGATCACAGCGACGACAGTCGTCGATTCGCCTCTGCGATTCATTTACGAACTGTGCTGGACGGTGGTGAGTGCTGGATTTTCATACCCTAATCAAGTCAACTAGTAGAACTAATCGGTAAATTCCACATGCACTTAGCATATCGGTAGCCGCTGAAGGCGGGTACGGGGGTGGAGCGCACGAAGCGACCTTCATGTAATAGCACGTATACGGGAGAGTGATCAAGGAACAAGCGAGTTCGTTCGCTCCAACGTTTATAGGATCCGAGTTCGTCAACCTGATAGTAATCGACCAGCTCCGTCTCTGTCAGTCAAAGCTGAGCCGACATTTCGTTCTGTTGACTTAGAGCAAATCTGTCCAGTGGATGACGCTCTCGCGACCGCCACGTGGACTCCGTTCCTCCGCGTAGCCTGCTGTTGGCAGGGCCTCAATAATCTCTCCGGCTCAATCTGATCCGTCCATGGCTGCTCGTCGTACTCCTGAAATTGACAAAGCTGAGAATGCCAGTGGTATCCGCGACGACTCTAGGTGTAAAAGGGGATGCTGTTTTGTCCTACACGGAGTTGTCTTTATGCCGTGTTAGAGTAGAGGTTCTTTTTGAATCCTTTTATAATGCTTCCCCACTCCACAGAATTAGGGTTTCATCATCGACCAATCACCGTCGTTGCGAAGAAAATGACGGTAGTCACTCGTGCGCACACATACCAGGATCGAAGAATACAAACGGTTAGATTTGATTGGCGCGAGTGAAACCCTAATTCGTCCCGATTACCAGGGGCAGCATAGTTTACCGGATGTTCCAGCGACTAGCTGTTTTTTTCCGGTCTCCACAGCACAGATTCCGTCCTGCTTTCAGCGCGTGCTTCCGCGGCCTCCCATCCCTCCAGGTGCATGGCGATCTGCCACCTTCGCGCATCTCAGCCGCCCAATAGGTCGGCAGGCGTATTCTCGAATTGGCCCCAAAATCAGCTCTGAATCCGTCCTGCTTTGGCCACCTGCTCTCCCTCCCCCCTGTCCCTCCAGGTGCACGGCGACCTGTCGCCCTCGCGCGTCCCAGCCGCCTGCAGTCGACGCAAGAATCAGTTTTATGACCGTCCTGCTTTGACCACCTGCTCTCCCTCCCCCCTGTCCCTCCAGGTGCACGGCGACCTGCCACCCGCGCGCATCCCACCCGCCCTGCAGTCCGCAGGCCTGCCCCTTCCGCCTGCTGCCTCTCCCGACGCGGGCGCAGTGCCTTCCGCGGACCAGTGTGTGGCGGATGAGCAGTCCCCGCCTGCCCCAGATGTGCCTTCCCTGCTGGCGGACACAGTGGCCCAGCTGGCGTTCGAGGTACGCTACGTTGTAATGTAGAAAGATTGACCTTTAACTCATCTCCGCATGTACACTCTGCCCCAGATGTGCCCTCCCTCCTGGCAGACACAGTGGCCCAGCTGGGTTCGAGGTACGTTACGCCGTACTGGATTGACTTTAGAGAATTCTCAAAAGTCAATCCTGCCCCAGTTGTGCCACCCTCCTGGCGGACTCAGTGGCTCAGCTAGCATTTGAGGTATGTATGAAGATCTCCGCCTTGGTGTTGGGGTTTGTACCCGAACGAACAACAGAGGCCCCAACAGCAGATCTGGGAGCTCGAGGCACGACAATGTGCGTCCGTCGTTGTTAGGTCTTTGTTAGGTCTTTGTTGTACCTGAAACGAGCAGCAGAGGCTCCAGCAACACAGATCGGAGCTGGCTTTTGAGGAACGTTGGTTGGCTCTGCAGTGACTCACCTCTCGACTCAGGCGTCAGTTCGCTTAGATTTCTTGACTGCAGTGCCCCTTGCTTTCACAAATGGAGTTTTCCGTATGCAACCCTCCGCTCCGCATGTAGAATATATCATGCAGCCCAGCCCTGCATGTGGTTTGGCATGTTTGACATGCAGCATTTTCCCCTTTGCCTGGAGCTTGTTGCTAGTCGTCGCTGCTCAAATCTGGATGAAAGCTTCTTGTTGTTTTCTCTGGCTTGGTGCCAGAGCGCTGCCAATGCCAACCAATCCCTTTGAGGCACCTAAAAAAATGATGCAGCATTTTCCCCTTTGCCTGGAGCTTGTTGCTAGTCGCTGCTCAAATCTGGATGAAAGCTTCTTGTTGTTTTCTCTGGCTTGGTGCCAGACCAGAGCGCTGCCAAGCAATCCCTTTGTGAATGCACCCTGCTTCTTTCTTGGCTCTCTCTCTCACTCACAGGTGTCCGGCCAGACTGACCTGCGTCGACGACTGGTGGAACTGGTGAGTGCGTGCGTGAAACCGGGAGATGAAATGAAACAGTAAGATGAAATGAAACAGTAAGATGAAATGAAACAGTAAGAGGTGAAGTGAAAGAGTAAGATGAAATGAAAGAGAGGTGAAACGACAGTAGGAGCAAGATCGGATGAATGAATGAAGCTGAAGTGGAATTGCAGCAAGAGCTGTGCTGTGGCTCTTCTGAAATGACAGCTGGCGTTAATGGGAGCTGAACTGAAGCTTCATGGAGCAGAAGCGGATGGTGGATGGAAGTAGGAGGAAACTAAAGTTTCATTGAGAGAGGTGGCGGGCGTCATGCATGCACTGTGAAATGGCATAATGCAAATGCGCTCGCGTGATTCTGTGACCCATTTTCCATGCCTACGCTGTGCGTGTGCGCCCTCACGTCCCGACCTAATTTCTTCTTCCTTTTTCCTTTCTCTCTACAATGCCTCTCTGCCCTCCGTGTTTCTGATAGACCAAGTGGCTGGCGTCCAATGGGGTCGTGACACCTCGCATGCTGCAAGATCACTGCGAGGCAAGTGCATTCTTGCAGCTCCTTCAGTTTTGATTGTTCTCTCATTAAAATCCGCTCACTGAACTTTCTTGTCGTTCTTAAAGCTGATGACCCCCCAGTAGCTTAAGCAAGTTAAGGAGCAATGCTTGTCTCAGGGGGCTAGAGAACCATTTCTCCATCACTCTCTTTGCTGCTTCCACTCATCTCGCCTTGCCATATTCTCACCCTCCCTCAATACCTCGCCCCCCACCTACCTCGTCCGTGCCACCAGGAGGAGTTGCTGTGGGAGGCGGAGCTGATCAAGATGGAGCCCTCGGAGCTCAAGAAAAAATGCGTAAGGCCGCATCCCATCGCCAACCTACCCGCCTCGTGCCTGCGTCCGTGCCTGCCTGCATGCCTGCCTGTTCTGTTTCCTGGTTATGTGCTTGCTTCCTGTCTCCGCCCTGCTTTCCCTTCATCAGTCGACCAAACAAGGTAAGATTCTGCATCAACTTCCTGTGCTCGTCTCGTCTGTGGTCGCTTCCCTGGTAGAATATATATTTTTGAAAATTATCCTCATTTAAAGTACACGCACACCGATTTGAGTTGATTCATAAACTTTCTGTGCTCCCCCTGTGTGCTCCTCTCCTGTGCTCCTCCTGTGCTCCTCTCCTGTGCTCCTCCTGTGTGTGCCCTGCACCATCCTCTTTCAAGTGCAAGTGAACATGCCTCTCATGTACACGCACACCTATCCGTTTGTCCATTAGAAATAATTGTCTCTGTCCCTTTCTGTCTGTCCTCTACTCCCCTCGTGTCCTGGCAGGTGCGAGTGAACACGCGCCTGGTGTACACACAGACCAAGTTCAACCTGCTCCGAGAGGACTCCGAGGGATACGCGAAACTGGTGAGAGAGAGAGAAATGGATGGGTCGAAAGATGCTGTGTGACATGACATTATATCCAGGTGAAATTCTGAGTTGGCTCAAGAGACGTGCGGTGCAGGCCAAGTTCAACCTGCTCCGAGAGGACTCCGATGGATACGCGAAACTGGCGAGAGAGCGATGGGGTTGTCGAATGGAGGAAAACCTCACCTCAGATTGGGGAGGAGGGGTTGGAGGGAGAGGAGAAGTGAGAGGGCGGACCTGATTGGCTTGTTACTTTGTGAATGATCTGTAATGTCACGTCTTGTTCCCTCTCCCTCGCTCCGTTCTGCCTGGCAGATCACCATACTGAGTCAGAAGGACCCGCTGGGTCTCAACTCACGGTCAGCGAGCGCTGTGGTAGACGCTGTAAAGGTGAGTGAATGGCTGCTAGTACTGTAGTGCCCGATGTTTAAAAGTAATCTGCGATTGTTGCTGTTGTATACAGACAGTCGCAGACGAAGCTCTCTCTCTCGCTCAGCCGCTGTTGCCTGTTGTGCTCTCTTTTCCTCTTTTCCTGACTGTCAGTCATGTGTGTGTCTCGCATTGTCCTCTACGCTCCTCTCCTCTCTCCACTCCCCCCATCCCTTCTCCTGTCTGCGTTGCCATTCCCTGGCAGTCACTCATCGGCCTCTTTGACCTGGATCCAAACCGCGTGTTTGACATTGTCCCGTACACCCCTCTCCCCCTTCCTCCCCACCCCACCCCGCCCCCATCCATCCCATCCCATGTATGTCCCCCTTCCGGGGCATGGCAGTCACTCATCGGCCTCTTTGACCTGGACCCAAACCGCGTGTTTGACATTGTGAGTATAGCACCACTGCCATGCCATGCCATGCCATGCCATGCCATCGTGCATGTACTTACATACTCGTTCGCCGTCGCTGCCTCTCTTATACGCTCCCTCTCTCTGTGTTCTCTGTCGTCATGCTCGCTCTCTCCCTCCTGCATGCTGCCCCTGAACCCTGCTCCTGTTCACTGTCTGTTCTCCCGCTCTGCACCTCTCGCCCCACGCCTCTCTCACATCACACCAGGTGCTGGACTGCTGTGAGATGCGTTTTCAATCGACCCAATGTCATCCCTCGCTTCCTCTTTTGCTCCTCTCTCTTTACTCTTCCTCCCTACCCTTCTCGCCCCACGCCCCTCTCACATCACACCAGGTGCTGGACTGCTACGAAATGCGTTTTCAATCGACCCAATGTCACCCCTAAGCCGTGCTCTTCCTCGTTTGCTCCTCTCTCTCTCTCGCTCACATCACACCAGGTGCTGGACTGCTATGAGATGCGTTTTTAATCTACTCAATGTCACGCCTAAACCATGCTCTTCCTCTCTGCCTCTTGCCCCATGCCCCTATCACACCAGGTGCTGGATTGCTACGAGATGCAGCCCACCAACTCTGCCTTCTGAGTCAACTCCCAAGGCATGCCCAAACCCTGCTCCTCCGCTCTGCCCCTCTCCCCCCACGCCCCTCTCACATCACACCAGGTGCTGGACTGCTACGAGATGCAGCCCACCAACTCAGCCTTCCTCCACCTCGTCAAGCTCTTCCCTGAGGTGCGTGCTGCTGCTGTGCTGTGCTGTGCAGTGCTGTGCCGTGGGGGTATGTGCTGTGCGGTTCTGTGCGGTTTCTTGCAGTGTTGTGCTGTGCGGTGCTATGGTGTGCTGTGCTGCTGTGTTGTCTGCGCTAATGTGGCTCCTCTACTTAACCTTTTCAGTCCGCTTCCACCTCCCGCTCCCTCCCCTGCTCCCCTCAGTCGCACGCGCCCCAGATCCTGGGGTTCAAGTTCAGCCACTACCACCGCCTCATCGACACCGCTGCTGCAGCGGGGAGCACAAGAAGCTAACATGTTACACACCCTTCCACTCCCCCCCCTCCAACCCCTGCTCCCCTGCTCCCCTCAGTCGCACGCGCCCCAGATCCTGGGGTTCAAGTTCAGCCACTACCACCGCCTCACCGCCACTGCTGCTGCTGTCGCCGGTGCTGCTGCAGGGGGGAGCAGCAAGAAGCTAACACGCTACACCCTTCCATATCCCGCTCTCCCCCCTGCCCTCTCAGTCGCACGCGCCCCAGATCCTCGGGTTCAAGTTCAGCCACTACCACCGCCTCACTGCCACCACTGCTGCTACTGCCGCTGCTGCTGGGGGCAAAGGGGGGAAGGAGGGCGGAGGGAACAGCAAAGGGGGGGAGAGAGGAAGTGCAGGGAAAGCGGGGGCAGGGGGAGGAGGGGCGGGAAGAGGTGATGGTGATGGCGAGGGGGGGGAGAAGGGGGAGGGTGGGAGTGGGGCGGAGGGGCGCATACCAGACAGCCTGTTTGTGCTGGCGGCTAACTGCCTCAAGAGCAACGTGGTGCAGCTCTCTGCCTTGTGAGTCGCGTCGTTGCCCTGGTTTTTGTTTGAGAATTCTCAAGAACCGCTCACAGCATACCAGACAGCCTGTTTGTGCTGGCAGGCAGCTAACTGCCTCAATCAAGAGCAACGTGGTGCAGCTCTCTGCCTTGTGAGTCGCGTCGTTGCCCTGGTTTTTGTTTGAGAATTCTCAAGAACCGCTCACAGCATACCAGACAGCCTGTTTGTGCTGGCAGGCAGCTAACTGCCTCAAGAGCAACGTGGTGCAGCTCTCTGCCTTGTGAGTCGCGTCGTTGCCCTGGTTTTTGTTTGAGAATTCTCAAGAACCGCTCACAGCATACCAGACAGCCTGTTTGTGCTGGCAGGCAGCTAACTGCCTCAAGAGCAACGTGGTGCAGCTCTCTGCCTTGTGAGTCGCGTCGTTGCCCTGGTTTTTGTTTGAGAATTCTCAAGAACCGCTCACAGCATACCAGACAGCCTGTTTGTGCTGGCAGGCAGCTAACTGCCTCAAGAGCAACGTGGTGCAGCTCTCTGCCTTGTGAGTCGCGTCGTTGCCCTGGTTTTTGTTTGAGAATTCTCAAGAACCGCTCACAGCATACCAGACAGCCTGTTTGTGCTGGCAGGCAGCTAACTGCCTCAAGAGCAACGTGGTGCAGCTCTCTGCCTTGTGAGTCGCGTCGTTGCCCTGGTTTTTGTTTGAGAATTCTCAAGAACCGCTCACAGCATACCAGACAGCCTGTTTGTGCTGGCAGGCAGCTAACTGCCTCAAGAGCAACGTGGTGCAGCTCTCTGCCTTGTGAGTCGCGTCGTTGCCCTGGTTTTTGTTTGAGAATTCTCAAGAACCGCTCACAGCATACCAGACAGCCTGTTTGTGCTGGCAGCCAACTGCCTCAAGAGCAACGTGGTGCAGCTCTCTGCCTTGTGAGTCGTGTGCTTGTGCCTTGTCGTGCTGCTAGTGTTTGTTCTCAAGTGGTCTCAAGAACCGCTCACAGCATTCCAGACAGCCTGTTTGTTGTGCTGGCGGCCAACTGCATCAAGAGCATGAAGAGCGACTCGCAGGTCGCTGTGCTGTGATTCACATGTGTGTGTCACATCTGATGTGCGTCAAGCTGTCTTTTTCTCTGTTGGTTGGGTCTCGTGTGTGGCTGGCAGGTACCCGTTCTTGGACCCTCCAGACGAGGAGGCAGAGGCACGCAGCAAGGAGATCAATGCACAGAGAATAGCGGATGTGAGTTGAATGCCAGCCGGTTCACTCAATGAGTTGAATATGAGGATTGCAGGCCAGTCATGCACTGCTTCTCTGCTCGCCCTCTGCACACTGCTCTGCTCACTCGCGCCTTCCCCCAATGCCCCCCGTACACTCGCTTGGTAGGGGGCTCCCCGTACTCTACCACCCCTACCCCTATCCCTATCCCTGAATGGCCACTTCCACCTGTTGCCACCTCCTCCTCTCTCCACCCCCCTCACCATCCCCCGCCTTTCCTCCTGACTAAATCCTCGCGCCTTCACTTCTTTGCACCCTCCATACTGCCTCCTCCTGTCCCAGGTGAACTGCATAGGCAAGATCAACCTGGCAGCGACGGGGCGAGACCTGACAGACGACCCGCAGCCAGCAGACGTGACGATCGACCTTTACGGGGCGGTGGACGGGCAGGAGAGCGCTGCTGCTTCCCTAACATAACAGCCCCCTTTCTCACCTGCCCCTCCGCCCCTCTGCGCTTTTTTTGTGGTCAACTCCTCCCCCATCCCCCCCCGGTTCCCTCCATCCCCCGTTCCCCTGCATTCCGTTCTCCCCCAGGTGAACCGCATAGGCAAGATCAACCTGGCAGCAACGGGGCGGGACCTGACAGACGACCCGCAGCCAGCAGACGTATCGATCGACCTGTACGGGGCGGTGGACGGGCAGGAGAGCGCTGCTGCCAAGGAGTGGGGCGAGGCGGAGAGAAACGATAAGATGCGCCTGCTCAAGGCGCTGATGCTGGTGGACGACTGGTGAGTGGATGGTGCTTGCCTTGTGCTTGCTTCTCTCTTTGAGACCCTTAAAGGTGTATCAAGGAGTGGGGCGAGGCGGAGGGCAATGATAAGATGCGCTTGCTCAAGGCGCTGATGCTGGTGGATGACTGGTGAGGGTCAGATCTTGATTTCTTTCTTTTAACAATTTCTTAGTTTTAGTTTGAAGGGTTTAATTGTTTGTTTTTTCCCTCTTTGCGTAAGCTGGCTGCTTGGATGTATGCTGCGGGCGGGTTGATTGTTGCGCACTGACCTCCTCGATGCTTTTGAGGCGATTCAACACTCCACACTTCCACTCCTCCTCAACACCTGAATCCACCTCGCCCTTCCTCCCACCCACCCACCATGCCCCCTTCGCGGAAGCTGTTGGAGCATCTGAGCCGAGGGGAGTAAAACACTCTTTTAGGTTTAGACTTCGAGTTGAGTTCTCCGCACCCTTTCTCCCACCCACCCTCCCACCCACCCACCAGGGCCCATGCGCGGCAGCTGCTGGAGCACCTGAAGCCGCTGCACCCCGTCTCCCACCCGCCCATCTGCACCGCTCTCTGCTCGTATGTCTGCACCGCCCCTGTGTCCATGCATGCAACGTCCTGTGTGTGCCATGTGGGCTCATGCATTCAACTGTCTCATCCCATTATTATTCACGTGTATGCCACCACCTTGCATGTATGCCCTGCTATTGCACAGCGCTGGAGTGATTGGGACATGCCGTTTGAATGCCCATGCATGCAACGCCCCTGTGCTCATGTGCTCATGTGTGCCCATGCAATTGCCCCATTCCATTGTCAATCACGTGCAATTGCCATCATGTGTGCCATGCCACCACCACTGTATGCGTGCCCTGCTATTGCACAGCACGGAGTGATAGGGACATGCCATTTGTGTTAATGCCAACACTCTTTGCTCGTGTCACTTCTGTGTCAACATGTTTTCATCAAACGTGTGCGAATTTAATGTGAATAAATAAAACTCATGTCATTCCGCTCTCTCTCCTTCCCCTGCCTCCCCCTTAACCCCCCACCCCCCCACGCCACCACCCCTCCATCCAGCCTCATATCCCGTGCCATTGCCCCAGCCTACCATGCAATCCGCCCAGCCTACCTTCTCAACTTCAAAAACCAATCTTCGGTGGACACCACCTCGTTACCGAACCTGCCTTCCAGCCTCGGTGCCTCCCGAGCCTCGGATGGCGACGTTGAGATGGCCGAAGCTGGCGTGGTGGATGGAGTGACAGGGGGCAGGAGGAAGGGGGAAAGGGCGAGGGGGGACGAGGAAGGTGGAGAGGGAGAAGGGGAGAAAGACAGAGGAGTGGGAAGGGGGGTGGTGGAGAGCAGGACAGGGGGGGCGCGGGTGCCTGCGAGGGTGTTTGAGATGCTTCGCTTCCTGGGGGCGTTTCTATACCAGGATACCATTCTGCTGCAGAAGGTGAGAGGTGGGACTGGGGGTTGGGTCTAGGGTTGAGATACTTTGGTTTCTTAGGGCCTTTCTATACCAGGACACCATTCTGCTGCAGAAGATGAGAGGCGGGACTGGGGGTGGGCTTTAAGGGGGCTTCAAGATTGAGATGCTTCAGTTCCTGGGGGCCTTTCTGCTGCACCAGGATACCATTCTGTTGCACAAGGTGAGAAGTGACTAGTTGGTGGGCTTTAGGGTTTTAAAATTGGAATCTTTCGGGCTGCGTGTTTCCACCACCATGTCCACCTGTCATCTGCATGGCACCCGCCTTTATGCATGCCACCTGGCACCCGCTGAACTTGCTTCTCACCAAACCTTTGATCGTTCTCCACTCTGCTCTTTGATTGCGGTTTTGCATGGTGTGCCACACATCTCCTCACCGCTCCACACCAACCCGTATCACATCACCCACGCCATTTGCACCGCACCACACTCCCTTGTCTCACAACGACATACCCCAGCTGTGCAAGGTGCTCAAGGCAGACCTACTCCAAGCCCGTGCCGCCGCTGCCACTGCTGCAACCGCTGCCTCCACAGCCGCTGCTTCTGCTGCCTCCTCCGCTCCTGCAGCTCTCTGTAACGGGCCTTCTCTTGCCGTACCCACACCAGCAGCAGCAGCAGCAGCAGCAGCAGCCAACGGCCCCATTTCCTCTGAACCCGAATCTTCGCTCGCTTCCCCTGACACTGCTGCTGCTGCTACTACTGCAACACCAGCAGCAGCAGCGGCAGCCGCTGCAGCAGAGGCAGCGGCAGCGGCAGCGAGGGAGGTGGAGGGGCGGGTGGTGGAAGCACTAGAGGCGGCGCTGTTGCCAGCGCTGCAGGCGGTGGTGGCGAGTCCGCCGGTGTGCATGCAGCTGTGGGAGGTGCTGTCATGCCTGCCCTTCCAGGAGCGCTACCGGCTCTACGGCGAGTGGGAGAAGGAGACCGAGACCAACCCCCTTGTGCTCGCTGCCCGGCAGATTGCCAGGGTGAGTGATAGGAGTTCAGTTCAGGGTAGTGAGTGAGTGGGTACTGTACTGGGGTGATAAATTTGATTGGGGAACCCAGCAGTGCTGAAATTGGCCGCTGGCTTTGCTGGTGAAGGTGCTTGGAGGGATAGAGGCTCTGTTCTCTTAGGGTGTGTGGGTAGGTGAAGAAGACGCGGTTCGCACACAGTTGCACGTTTTTCTCCTCCCTCGCCTTCTCCGGTTACTCCCCTCCTCCTCCCCACTGCCCTCTCCCCACCTCCCTCTCCCAATCGCCACATATCTTTTTTACATGTACCTGTTCCCCCCCCCATGCCCAGCTCCCCCGCCTCACCCCCTCTCCCGCCCTCCCCCCATTCAGCTGGACATGCGGTGCACGCTGCTGAGGCGGCTGGCGAAAGAGAATCTGAAGGCCACAGTCTGAGCATCACGTGCCTTTTCCAATGCACCCGTTCATCCCTCCTTACCCCCCACTGCCCACACCGCCAGCTGGACACGCGGAGAACACTGAAGCGGCTGGCGAAGGAGAATCTGAAGCCAACGGGGCGCATGGTGGCGAAGCTGGCACACTCCAACCCGCTCACCGTGCTCAGAACCATCGTGGTGCAGGTGGGTCAAACAGAAGCTCCGTGGTTCATTGTGGTGCAGGTGGGTGTTGGTGTGTGTTGGGGAGTGATGGTTGGGAGTTACAGGTTCAGGTGCAGGCTAACAGCTGGCGCACTCCAACCCGCTCACCGTGCCCAGGACCATCGTGGTGCAGGTGGGTGCTGCTGCTGCCCCGTGCACTGCACAGTAACAGGCAGCGAAATTGGCTGCGATGGTAAGCGGTTCAGTTCAGGTATGGTTTAACAGCTGGCGCACTCCAACCCGCTCGCCGTGCTCAGGACCATCGTGGTGCAGGTGGATGCTGTTGTGGTGCAGGTGGGTAGTGCTGCTGCGTGGTGCATTGCACAGTGGTGCAGTGTGCAGATGGACTCGCACAAGGATATGATTCTGGCTCTCATTATTGCCTTCTAACACTCAACCCTTCACACATTTCACAACCCAACCCTCTCCCCCTCCACCATTTCCCTGAACCTCCCTCTCCCCTCTCTTCCTGTCCCACGGCTGGCAGGTAGAGGCATACAAGGAAATGATTCCGCCTGTCGTTGATGCCTTCAAGTACTTCAACCAGGTCAGTGCTCCACGCCCCACCCCGCACCACCCTGCCCCACTCCACCCCACTCCACCCCACTCCGCCCCACCCGGCCCCACCCACCCCCCCCCCCCCCCGCCCCTCCCCCCCCCTCTCTTGGCCCCTCGTTCGTCTTTCTGCCTTTTGAGTCGTGCCAGCTGCAGTGTCACTGACATGCTCTGGACCACCTGGTCCTGCTTCTACCTGGTGGTAAAGCCGTGAAAACTGCTCTCCTCCACCACCCTCCCCCCGTTCGCTCGCCCTAAACCAGTTGGAGTTTGACATTCTGGAGTACGTGGTGATAGAGCGACTGGCACTGCTGGAAGCTGCTCGAGCAGCTGCTTGATTCTCTTTCTCACATGCCCGTTGTGTCCTCTCTCTCCCCACCCTTCCCCCCCCCACCAGCTGGAGTTTGACATTCTGTAGTACGTGGTGATAGAGCGACTGGCACTGCTGGAAGCTGCTCGAGCAGCTGCTTGATTCTCTTTCTCACATGCCCGTTGTGTCCTCTCTCTCCCCACCCTTCCCCCCCCCACCAGCTGGAGTTTGACATTCTGGAGTACGTGGTGATAGAGCGACTGGCACTGCCACGCAGCACCATCAAGGAGGACGGACTCAACATCGCCGACTGGCTGCAGTGCCTCGCCTCCTTCTGGGGCTCCGTGTACGCGCCCTCCACCCCTGCCCTCCCTCCTTCCCTCCCCTCCCTTGCTTCTGGCTGGCGTACGGGCTGTACTGCTCTGTGCACGTTCCCTCCCGGGCTTGTGTTGCCTTTTGGGGTTCCGTGGGCTGGGCTATGGAGCTCTGTGCGTGTGGCAATGCCGTTTGGTCTTCCGTTTTTTGTTTGCCATGTGTGCCCGGTCTCGTCTCCTTTTGGGGCTCTGTGTATGTTTCTCCATCCTTCCCTTGCTGCTGCGCAAAAAGCCACCGGAAGCATGGTTTTGCAGCCTATTTTTGGAGCTCTCTACTCTCTGCTCTCTGCTCTCTACTCTCTACTCTCTGCTCTCTGCTCTCTGCTCTCTGCTCTCTGCTCTCTGCTCTCTACTCTCTGCGCTCTGCTCTCTGCTCCGTGTGCATGTGTTGTTGCCTTGTGTGGCTGTGTACGTCCCTTCCTTGTTCCGTTTCCTCAAGCTATGTGGTTCATACATAGCCTGGGTGGCTTTATGAGGGGACGCAGTGGGGCTTCACGCTGAGATTGAATGCATCGGTTCGCGTCGCCCCCTCCCCCTTTCTTTTTCTTATCAGGTGCAAGAAGTACCCTCTCGTGGAGCTGCGAGGGCTGCTGGATTACTAAGTGAACCGGCTGCACAGGTCGAGGCAGTGGAGCTGGTGCTGCTGCAGGAGCTGATGGAGCAGATGGCTGGCATCGAGTCCAATGAGAACCAACCCTGCCTTCCCCCGTGCCCCAGGCGCGCTTCCTCCCTGCCTTATCTCTCTCTGTCCGCTGCAGCAAGCGCTGAACTGAGACTGCCCCCCACCTTTTTATCACATTCTTTCCCTCCCTTCGCTCCTCTCAGGTGCAAGAAGTACCCTCTGGTGGAGCTGCGCGGTCTTCTGAGTTACTTAGTGAACCGGCTTCACCAAGGCGAGGCGGTGGAGCTGGTGCTGCTGCAGGAGCTGATGGAGCAGATGGCTGGCATTGAGTCGAATGAGAACCTCACGGAGGAGCAGCTCGAGGCGCTGGCTGGCGGGGAGACTCTCAGGCAGCTCACTGCTAGCTTCGGCCAGGCCAAGAACAACAAGGTGCGTTGCATTGCATTGCATGGCTCGAAAATTGTGAGCCACCTGGGCCTGGGGAGTTTTGTGAGTACGTGGAGAAGTAGAATAGAAGCTGAAAGAGCCTTGCGATATGAGTGAATTTTTTAGACGTCTCAGGAATTTACTCATATCAGGTCGTGGCTACCTGGGCCTGGCGATTTCTGTGGGTACGTGGAGTGGAGAAGCAGAAGCTGAAAGAGCCTTGCGCTGCAATTTTTTCCATTACCCCCTCCCCACCCACCCCCATCCACCCCCCTTGCCCACTGTCCATGGGGAGGCTGGTAAACACTCTGCGTTGAGACGTGTCAAAAGCCCCATCCACCAACCCCACCCTCACCCCTTCCGTCCCCACCCCCAACCCCACCCTCACCCGCCTATCCCCAGCGCTAACAACCATGGCAAGCCATGGCGCCGCGGTCCATAGGGCGGCTCAAGGTCGCTCTGCTTTGAGACGTCTCTGAGACGCATTATAACCCCCAGCTTCCCCCCCCTTCCCCCACCCCCACCCCACTTGCACCCCAATTATGGTTGGTAGGCGATGGCGCGGTCAATGGGGCGGCTCAAGGACGCCCTGCTTTGCGATGTCTCAAATCCCCGCCACCCCCTTCCCTTGTGCAACCCACCCTCAACCCCACTGGCACCCTGGCAGGCCATGGCGCGGTCAATGGGGCGGCTGAAGGACGCTCTGCTGCCGGGCAAGGGCGAGCCGAATCTCGCCGTGCCGCTGCTGGTGCTCATTGCACGGCAGCGATCCAAGTGAGTGGTGGTGATTCCGTGACACATTCTGGCGCACCAGTGCATTTGCTTTGCTGCCACATCATCCTCGCTTGTCGTGCTGCTCCCGCCCCTCACACTTGGCCATACTCTCTGGTCACGCATTTTGAAATCACCCTCTCTTCCCCCTCCCCCCCACACGCGCTGTGCTCTCTCTATGCCGCTCCCCCTTCCAGCGTCATGTTTGAAACTCCTCAACGAACGTTTTAGCAGTTGCCGCTTCCTTCAAACGGTCCTTTGTCTCTTGTGTCCCCTGTGGTGTGGTGTGGTGCACATTTCGAATCCAACAGGCCCAACCCTCTTCGTTCTATCTCCCTTTCTCTCCCAGCCCCAAGCATTCCGTTTGAGGCAGAGCAATCGCACAGTAGTCACGCTGTTGGTTAAGTCCCTTCCTCCTTTCCTTTCGCCACCCTTCTCCACCCTTCTCCACCCTTCTCCACCCTCCCCAGCATTGTATTCGAGGCAGAGGGCTCACACATCAAGCTACTCAGCGAGCATTTCGACCGCTGCCACCTCATCATGCTACAGTACGCGCAGTTCCTCTCCGCCGCCCTCTCGCCGCCCACCTCGTACGCCGCCTTCATGCCGACCCTGCACACGCTCTCCCAGCGCTTCCACATGCCGCCCGAAGCTGCCTTCCTCGTCTACCGCCCTGTGCTTCGCCTCTTCAAGCCCACCCCTGATTCCCCCGTCTCCTGGCCTGCTCTTGCTGCTGGGAGTGGTGCAGGTGGGAGTGGTGGGGGTGGTGGGGGTGGTGGGAGGGGAGGGGAGAAGGAGAAGAGGCAGCAGCAGCAGGGGGGGAGGAAGGGGGCAGGGGAGGGGGCAGCAATGGATGGGGTAGTGGAGGATGGGGTGGAGGGGGAGGGGGAGCAGTGGGAGGAGGACGACCTAGTGCTGTGCCTGGGGGATGCGGCTGCTGGTGCAACTGCTGCTGCTGCTGGTGCATCTGCTGTTTCTGCTAATGCTGCAGGTGCTGTTCGTGGTACCACTGGTGCTGCTGCTGCTGCTGCGGTTGGCACCGATGCCACTGACAGCCCAGTGCACTGGCGGGACGTGGTGGAGTGGGTCCGAAACATGCCGCCCGCAGCAGCATGGCGGGGCCTGTCGCCGTCCTTCTACCTGCTCTTCTGGGGGCTGTCTCTCTGCGACCTGCATGTGCCGCGGCAGCGATACGAGGCAGAGATGGCCAAGCAGAGAGCACTGCTGCGCTCGCTTGAAGACATTGGGGACTCCTCAGGATCGGCCATCCAGGTGAGGAGGGCGTATTCGGGTTCTCCCTCTCTCCTGCTCTTCTGGGGGCTCTCCCTCTGCGACCTGCATGTGCCGCGGCAGCGATACGAGGCAGAGATGGCCAAGCAGAGAGCACTGCTGCGCTCGCTTGAAGACATTGGGGACTCCTCAGGATCGGCCATCCAGGTGAGGAGGGCGTATTCGGTTTCTCCCTCTCTCCTGCTCTTCTGGGGGCTCTCCCTCTGCGACCTGCATGTGCCGCGGCAGCGATACGAGGCAGAGATGGCCAAGCAGAGAGCACTGCTGCGCTCGCTTGAAGACATTGGGGACTCCTCAGGATCGGCCATCCAGGTGAGGAGGGCGTATTCGGTTTCTCCCTCTCTCCTGCTCTTCTGGGGGCTCTCCCTCTGCGACCTGCATGTGCCGCGGCAGCGATACGAGGCAGAGATGGCCAAGCAGAGAGCACTGCTGCGCTCGCTTGAAGACATTGGGGACTCCTCAGGCTCAGCCATCCAGGTAAATCGCGTCACTTCTAAGATAGCCACGTGATAAGGGCGCGTAACCATTTTGCACCCGACGGTTCGAACTGCGGACCGTCCGGGCTGGCGAAATGTAACCGGTTTCGTGAAATATCGTATGGATATTCGCAGAGGTGCTGGCGACGTCGCCAACAAAACGGAATGTCGTGACACTTTTTCACATTCTCAACGGTCCGCAATGTGAACCATGGACAGTCCGAAACCCAAACGGACGGTCCACCAGTCCTGGCTAGATATTGGCGGGCGAAATTCAATGTACAGTACCTCCTTACTATTGGCGAACGAACTTCTCATGGGGAATGTCGCGAATTATATTACGAAGATACAGAGCCTCTGACGAGGCTACAGTTATCGCAAAAATCTACAACCCCAAAAAAGTGTCACATTTGCCTTCGGACAGTCCGAAGTTGGCAAAATTCAATTTGGACAGTCCCGTTCTCGATAATAGGACCGTCCACTTCATTTTCTACAGACTGTCCATCAAAATCGTAAAATGCAAAATGGTTACGCGCCATAAAAGTGAAGTTTTGAGACGTCTCAAAACTTCACTTTTATCACGTGGCTCCCTTGAAGACATTGGGGACTCCTCAGGCTCAGCCATTGGGGACTCCTCAGGCTCAGCCATTGGGGACTCCTCAGGCTCAGCCATCCAGGTAAATCGCGTCACTTCTAACCTTTCCCCCTCTCGCCCCTCTTCTTCTCGTCCGTCCACCCCTCTCTTCCCTCCATAGTCACCCCCCTTGCCCATCCCCTTCCCCCATCCATGTGCCTACCCACAAGCAGAAGCGCAAGAAGGAGAAGGAGCGCGTGCAGGAGGTGCTGGACCGGCTCATGGGTCTCCCCTTGGTGGCGTGCCGCCCCTCATGTGTCTTCCCTCTCCCCACCCACTCTCTCCACCCGCTCTCCCCAACCAATCTCCCCTCCCACCCACATGCAGAAGCGCAAGAAGGAGAAGGAGCGCTTGCAGGAGGTGCTGGTTTGACTACCTGAACTCTTCCATTTGCACCCCTCCTTCTCATCTTGCCTTCCCTCCACCCACTTCCACCCATCCATCTGCCCACTCCCCCACCCACAAGCAGAAGCGCAAGAAGGAGAAGGAGCGAGTACAGGAGGTGTTGGACCGACTCCCTCATCTGACTCCTCTCTCGTCTCGTTCCCTCTTCTTGTTCTCTCCATCCACTCTTCCCCATCATGTCTACACGCCCACCCACCACCGCAGAAGCGCAAGAAGGAGAAGGAGCGCGTGCAGGAGGTGTTGGACCGTCTCTCAGCCGAGCTGGCTCGGCAGCAGGCTCGGGTCGAGGCTGTGCAGCGGCGGCTGGTTCGGGACCGCATGCGCTGGCTGAGCCCGGCAGCCGTGCCGGACAGCTGGCGCATCGTGCCATGCTTCCTCCACCACTGCGTCATCCCGCGCGTGCTCATGAGCCCAGAGGACGCAGTGTACTGCGCCAAGTGAGTGAAGATGAGATTGCAGGGAGAAGGGGAAAAGGGAGCGGTGGAGGGGGGGTGGGGGGGGGGAGAAGGGGGGCCAGGGCGAGTGGGCAGAGAGGGGGGTCAATAACCGAGGGGCAGTGTCGCACAGCTGGTGGATCATCGTGCCTTGCTTCCTGCACCACTGCGTCGTTTCCCGCGTGCTCCTTTGCGCTAAAGATGCGTTGTCTGCTCTGCTGCACCAAACTGAGTGCGTGCGCGAGTGGGAAGGAGAAGGAGAAGGGGACGGAACGGTGCTCATGAGTACTGAGGATGATGCATGCGGGCTAGGATAGGATGGTGTGGCACTCAGTCTACTGTGCTACCTGCTCCTTCCCCCTTTCTGTTCCAGGTCCCTCCCGCTCTCTACCATTCCAGGTTCATCATCCTGCGCATGCATGCGTCCGCCACCCCGCAGTTCTGCACGTTCCAAATGGTCCACGCGTTTGTGTGCAAGAGAGCTTCAACAGCCACCACAGCAACCCCTCCCTCCCATTCCCCCATCCACTCTCTGCTCCCCCTAGTACATCTTCAGGTTCATCCTTCGAATCGAATGCACGCGGTGGCCACCCCCTAGTTCTGCCCGTTCCAGATGTCGATGCTTTCGTGTGCAAGAGCTTCTAACCGCCACCACTTTTCCCTTCCCGCCACCCTCTTTCTACTCTCCTAACCAGGTTCATCCTGCGAATGCATGCAGCGGCCACCCACCAGTTCTGCACGTTTCAGATGGTGGACGCGTTTGTGTGCAAGAGAAGAGAGCCAATCACCTTCTCCCTTCTCTCTGTTCCCAATCCCGCCAGGTTTATGCTCCGAATGCACGCGGCCATCCCTCACTCTGCTCCCAATCTGTCTTTATCCATCCTTCCCCCTGTACTTTTCCAGGTTCATCCTGCGAATGCACGCAGCGGCCACACCGCAGTTCCGCACGTTTCAGATGGTGGACGCGTTTGTGTGCAAGAGCTTCCACCCGCTGCTTGCCAGCTCCTCCGAGGCCAAACTCCTCCCTCTCCCTGCCACCACCCACCCCTGCAGGTTCATACTCCGCATGCACGCGGCCGCCACCCCGCAGTTCTGCACGTTTCAGATGGTGGACGCGTTTGTGTGCAAGAGCTTCCACCCGCTGCTCGCCAGCTCCTCTGAGGCCGAGGCTGGCCGCCTGGGGCGCTTCGTGCTGGAGATCCTGCAGGCGATTTACCGGTGGAAGGTGGGTGAAAGGGACTGGGAGCGGGGCGGGGAGGTACGGCGACTGGACCGCCTGGGTCGCTTTCTCTCTCTCTCTCTCTCTCTCTCTCTCTCTCTCAAAACTAGCTCGGGCCGCCTGGGGCGCTTCGTGCTGGAGATTCTACAGGCCATCTACCCGTGGAAGGTGGGTGGCAGAGGGAGGCGGGATGACTGGGGCAACTGGGAGAGCTGGGACGACCGGGGCAATTGGGCCGCCTGGGGCAGTTCGTGCTGGAGATACTGCAGGCCATCTATTGGTAGAAGGTGAGGGTGGTGATAATGGTGAGAGGGTCGCAGTCGTACGGGTGGTGAGGGCGGGATGGGTGAAGGGTGAGAGTGAGACGAAGGGGTCCCGCCACTCCCTCTCTGGTGATAGTGAGAAGGCTGGGGCGCTTGCTCGTGGTGGGTGGGGTTCTAGCAGAGTAGAAACCGAGTCCCTGGTTTGAACCTCTTTCTTGCACTCAAGGCACAGTTCCTCCCTTCTTCCACCCGAACCTCCCCCTTCTCCCCCATCTTGCTGTCGGTGCATGGCAGAGTGATGCAGCGGTGTACAATGCGGAGTGTCTGGACCTCTTTCCTCACTCACATCACACTATTTCTCCCTCACTCCCCTTCCGCCCTCCTTCCGCCCTCCTGTCTCTTGCTGTCGGTGCGTGGCAGGGCGAATCGCGATGCAGCGGTGTACAACGCGGGGTGTTTGGTTGGACCACTTTCCTCAATCAACCACATTTTTGCTCCCTCACTCCCTCCAAACCCGCCCTCCCATCCCTCCTCCCCCTTCCCTCCTTCCCCCCCTCCCCTCTCTTGCTGTTGGTGCATGGCAGAGCGATGCAGCGGTGTACAACGCAGAGTGTCTGGACCACGTTCCTCACTCACACCATACTTTTGCTCTCCCTCACTCCCTCCAACCCCCTCCTCTTCCTCCTCCCCCTTCCCTACCTTTGCTGTTGGTGCATGGCAGAGCGATGCATCAGTGTACAACGCCGAGTGTCTGGACCACCCCGGGTCGTCCAAGAGTGTGATGAAGAAGCCCAACAACAACATGACGCTTGACCAGTTCCGCACGGTAGGGCTGTGTTGACTGTGTTGACCGTGTTGCTGTTGACCGTGTTTGACTGTGTTGACTAGAGTGTGATGAAGAAACCCAAGAACAACATGACGCTCAACCAGTTCCGCACGGTGAGACAGTGTTGACAGTGCTGACTGTGTTGACTGTGCTAACCGTGTTGATTGTGCTGTTGACCGTGTTTGACTGCATTGACAAGAGTGTGATGAAGAAGCCCAACAACAACATGACGCTCGACCAGTTCCGCACGGTGGGTACCCTTCTGACCTTGTTCATTGTGGACCTTGATGACCGTGTTGACTTTATCGACTGTATTGACCGCATTGACGAGAGTGTGATGAATTCGCCCAAAAAGTCGGGTCACGTCAACCCGACCCGTCCGGGCAACTTGCTCAAGCCTGCATGACACTTGACCAGTTCTGCACGGTCCATGCCCCCATGCCTGTGTTGACCCTGCTGACCCTGCTGACTCTGTTGACCCTACTGACTCTGCTGTTGACCCTACTGACTCTGCTGTTGACCCTGCTGACTGTTTTGACCGTATTGACAAGAATGTGGTGAATAAGCCTAACAGCCACATCACCCTCGACCAGTTCCCAATTTCCCGCACACCCCCTTCCCATACCCACTCCCATACCTCCCTGTGCCACCAGATCAACTGGAAGTGGAATTCCAAGCTGGTGTAGGTGCTGCCCATGGTTCTCGAGTGCCCCCACCCCACACATGCACATCTGCGACACCCTCACGCCGCTCTCGTCCTTCCTTTCCCCCCTTCCATCTCCCTCTGCCAGATCAACTGGAAGTGGAATTCCAAGCTGGTGTAGCTGCTGTCCCTGTAGGCATGAGCGTCCTGGCCCGGCTGGCCCGCCCAGGTCGGGTCGGGTCGGGTCGGGGCGGGCCGTTGATCATGCCTATGTCCATGTCTCTGTCCTTGGTGCTCGAGTACCCCCACACATGCACATCTGCGACACGAGGTGACTTTTGAGTCGACTCAAAAGTCGCAACCTGACCCGGCTGGCCCGGGATGCCTATGTCTATGTCCCTGGTGCTCGAGTACCCCCACCCCACATAGGGTTGAGCAAGAGGCGAACACGAACGTGTTCGAGGCGAACCGAACCGGTGTTTGCTTGCTTGCTCAAGCCAACCCCCACACATGCACATCCGCGACACCCTCACGCCACTCTCGTCCTTCCTTTCCCCCCTTCCATCTTCCCCCTTAACTGCTGCCTCCTCCCTCTGCCAGATCAACTGGAAGTGGAATGCGAAGCTGGTGAAGGTGCTATCCACCCTGCTCGAGTCCACTGAGTACATGCACATCCGCAACGCCCTCACCCCGCTCCCCTCACCCCTGTCCCCCCCTCCCCTGCCACAAACACTCTTCCCCCTCCCATCGTCCCACTTTGCTGCCGCCTCATCCCTCTGTCAGATCAACTGGAAGTGGAACGCCAAGTTAGTGAAGGTGCTATCGACGCTGCTCGAGTCCTCAGAGTACATGCACATCCGAAACGCCCTCACTCTGCTCTCCCGTGTTGCTGCTGTCTTCCCCGTCACCAAGCGCGGGGGGCTTGTTCTCGAGCGCAAGGTGAGTGCCATGCCGCTCATATTGCTGCTCAACCTGTGGTGCTGCTCTGGTTGCCGCTGCTGCCTGCTGCCTGCCGCCGCCGCCGCCGCCGCCGCTGCCATACCATCACCCCGTTGCACTGTTGTCGAGATTGCATGTTGAAGAACTTGCAGCTTCTCACCCTCTCTCATCATGCCATCATGCCCTCGGCTCATTGTGCCATAATCTTATGATACCATCATTTCATCATGCCATACCACCATCGCCCTCAGGTGAATCGTCTCAAGGCGGAGGAGCGGCAGGATCTGAAGCTCATGGCAACCAGCGTGTCGGCTGCACTCAACGCCAAGAAGGTACGGCTGTGATGGGGGATAGAATGACGAGGTCTTGATGGCTGTAGTGGCAGATAGATATCACCTGCCCTTGCTGCGCATCTGAAGCTCATGGCAACCAGTGTGTCCGCTGCACTCAACGCCGAGAAGGTACGGTTTTGATGAGGGAGCGAATGATTAGGTCTTGATGGCTGTAGTGGCAGATAGATATCACCTGCCCTTGCTGCGCATCTGAAGCTCATGGCAACCAGCGTGTCGGCTGCACTCAACGCCAAGAAGGTACAGCTGTGATGGGGGGTAGAATGATGAGGTCTTGATGACTGTAGTGGCAGATAGATATCACCTGCCCTTGCTGCGCATCTGAAGCTCATGGCAACCAGTGTGTCCGCTGCACTCAACGCCGAGAAGGTACGGTTTTGATGAGGGAGCGAATGATTAGGTCTTTGGAAAGGCAGAGGCAGATATCACATGCCCTTGTTGCTCATCTGAAGCTCATGGTCACCAGCGTGTCTGCTGCACTCAACGCCAAGAAGTTACGGCTGCAACGGGGGATAGAATTATCAGGTCCTGAGGCGTTGGGTCCACAAGTGACACGCCTTGTCGAAACAAGCCTAGGATTATATTTCTGAAAATGTGGACCTGTAACCCAAAAAAAAAAAAAAAAAAAAAACTTTATTTTATTAACCTTCGTGTCTTCCTATATTCTCACTGTGTCTTTCTCACAGCAGTCGTGGGTGACAGATGAGGGGTTCGGAGGAGCACCAACTCCCTCTGACACATCCTGCCCCGCCTCTCTTGCCCCTCTTGCTGCCTCTCTCCTGCTCTCAGTGTGCTACTCTCCGCGTGTGCCTTCCTGTTCCTCGCGCAGCAATCGTGGGTGACAGATGAAGAGCTTGAGGAGCTCCAGCTTTCGAAAGCTCTTTTCCATTTTTGCTCCCCTCTCTTTTCCGCGTGTGCCTCCCTGTTCCTCCTGCAGCAATCGTGGGTGACGGATGAGGAGTTCGGAGGAGCACCAGCTCCCTCTGCCGCTCCCCGTGCTGCCTCCCCTGCCCCTCTTACTGCTGCTCCTGCTGCCGCCACCACCACCACTGCTGCTGCTACCACGGTTGCTGCTCCTGCCACTGTCCCTGCTGCCAACGCCAAACCTTCTGTGGCTGATGCTGCTTCAGCTGCTGCTGCTGGTGGGATCGGCAAGGGAGCTGCTGCTATCCCTGCTGCTGCTGCTCCTGCTGCTGCTGCTCCCTCTGCTCCGTCCAGTCGCCACCCCACTCCCCCGCCCTCACGCCGTTCCTCCATGCCTCCCCCTTCTCCCGAACGCCCCGCCTCCAAGTCTCCCCTGATCCATGGCGGAATGGGGGGACGGGAGGGGGAAGCGGGAGAGGGGAGAGATGGGGAGAAGGAGAGAGGCAGGGCGATGGAAAAGGAAAGAGAGAAAGTGATGACGGTTAAGGGGGAAGAGGGTGGTGCTGTTGCTGGTGCTGCTGCTGGTTCGTCTTCCCGTGCTGCTGCTGCTGCTGCTGAAGTTCCTATAAAGGAGGAGCATGTAACGAGGACAGTGGGGCAGATGGAAGGGAGAAGAGAGGATAGGTGGGAGGAGGGGGAGCAAGCACCACCTGCGAAGCACAGGAAGGTGGAAGGAGGAGAGGGAGAGGGAGGGGGACGGGGAGGAGGAGGGGAGGTTGGAAGAGGGGGGGGAAGGGCAGGCAGCAAGCTATCCCCTGATGCTCCTCCCTTTGTGCCCTCTGCACTAAGAGGGACAGGGGGGCAAGCGGAAGGGGAGAGGGATAGGGATGAAGAGATGGAAACTAAGGGAGGGAGGAGAGATGAGGAAGGGAGGGAGGGGAAGGAGAGAGACAAGGAGAGGGAGAGGGAGAGGAGGGGGTCTGGTGCGGGTGGTATGCATGAGGAAAGGGCAGGGAGGGAGCGAGGAGAGGAGGAGGGAGGGTCAAACCATCGGGATAGCATGGGTGTGGGTGGGTCTAGTAGAAGAGCGTATGAGGAGAAAGAGGAGCATGAGGCTGGGGAGGTGAGGGGGGAGGGCAGAGGGGAGGGCAGGTGGGAGGGCAGGGGAGGGCATAAGGGGAGGGGAGGTGATGGGACAGAGAGAGAGGGGATGAGGGATGTGGGTGAGAAGGGGAAGAGAGGGGAGTGGGAGGATGGGGAGCAAGATGTGAGTGGGGAGAGGGATGGGAGGAGCGAGAAGATTGAGAAGGAGGAGATGAAGAGTAGGGAGAGGGAGAGGGAGAGGGAGGAGAGAGATAAGTTAAGGGTGTCTGATAAAGAAAGGGAGACGGAGACAGGGAAGGGGAAGGAGAGAGAAGGGAGAGAGAGGGAGCGGGAGAGGGGGAAGGAGAGGGAGAGGGAGAGGGAAGACAAGGGACGGGACAGGGGGAGAGGGGAGAGGGAGAAGGATCGTGAAGTGGAGAGGGGGGAGGTGAAGGAAGGGCGGGAGAGGGACAAGGGACGCGAGAGGAACCATGAGGAGGAGAAGGAGAGGGAAAGGGAGAAGGAAAAGAAGGAAAGAGAGAAGGAGAAGGAGAAGGAGAAGGAAAAGCAGAGAGAGCGAGTGCAGGAGGAGAAGATGAGGGAGGAGCGGGAGCGACTGAGGGCTCGGGTTGAAGAAGATATGAAGGTGAGAGAGAAGGAGAAAGAGAAGGAGAAGGAGAAGGAGAGGGAGAGGGAGAAGGAGAGGGAGAGGGACAGGGAAAGGGAGAGGGAGAGGGAGCGGGGGATAGGGAAGGATAAGGGAAGGGAGCGAAGCAAGGCTGCTGCAGCGGCAGCTGTGGCTGCGGCTGCTGCTGCCACTGCTGGTCGGAGTGCTGGAGTGGGGGCGGGAGGAGGAGAGGGGGGTGGAGGAGGGGGGGGGAGTGGAGGAGAGAGAGGGCCAAGCAAGGCAGCAAGTCCTGCCAGAGGAACAGAAGGAGCAGCTGGTGTGATGAGTCCTAAGGATGGGGAAGGGGTGGAGGAGGGAGGGAGAGGCAGGGGAGGGAAGAGGAGTGTGAGCTCGTCAGAAGATGGGGGAGGAGGGGCGGTGGCGGGCGGTAGTGGGGAGCGGGGAGTGAAGCGGGCGAGGAGGGGCGATGGGGACGTGGAGAGGGAGAGAGGCAGGGAGGAGAGGGGGAGGGAGAAGGAGAGGGAGAGGGATCGAGAGAGGGGAGAGGAGACGCCGAGGGCGCATGAGCGGGAGGGGAGAGGGGAAGGGAGAGGAGGGGAGCGGGGGAGTGGGGGTCGGGGAGGGGAGAAGGGGGAGTGGAGTGAGAGGGGGAGTGTGGAGCGGGGAAGGGGGAGAGAGGTGGAGGATTCAGGGCTTGGGGCAGATGGGCGTGGGGATGTGCATGAGTGGGGGGAGAGGGGTGGTGTGCGTGAGAAAGGAGTGTCCGACCGCAAAGGGGACAGGGAGAGGGAGAAGGAGAGAGAAAGGGAGAAGGGAAGGGAGAGAGAGCGAGGGCAGGTTGATAGCACCCCTGAGAGGGAGGTGAAGGAGGAGAGGGGTGGGGGGCGTGAGAGGGAAGCAGAGCATTTGAAGGAGAGGGACAGGGAGTGGGAGCATGAGCGTGCAACGGTGAAAGAGAGACTGGGTGAGCGCGGCAGGGGTGGGAGGGAGAGGGGAGAGAGAGGCGAGAGAGTGGTTGGCAAGGAGGAGGAGCGGGGTGTGGAGCAGGAGCGTGTGTATGAGAAGGAGCGTGGGGAGAGGGAGCGCGGTGAGAAGGGTGAGAAGGAGCGTGGAATCTTCCCAGAGCGGAGCATTGAGAGGGGAGGGGGGATTCGCGTGGTGGTGCGGGATGTGGGTGAGGAGGGGCGGGAGGAGGGGCATGCGCAGAGGCATGGGGCAGGACCGGGGCTTCGTCACTCGCTTGTGGTAGGAGTAACTCCACCTGCTCCTGCTGGAAGAATCATTCATGAGGTACATCTCTCAAATCAAACCCGTTATTTTATTCAAATGCACATATGTATCCATAAACTGGTCACCCATTTATCCCTGTTCGAGACTGCAAGCCTCTTCCTTAGTCAACTCCTTGTCCTTTCATGTTGTTTCTCTCACGCTGTTCCTCCCCACATCGTATTCCCCCAGCCGCGTGAGCGAGACCGCGACTGGGAGCGCGATCACGACTATGACGAACGCGACAGGGACAGGGATCGGGACAGGGACCGCGAGCACCCGCGAGACCGGGAGCCTTATCGGGAGCGGGACCGCTCGCCTCGGGAGAGCAAGTTCTCCTCTGCGCCGCCTCCCAGGGACCTCCAGCCCATTTCCCCGCTTCCACCGCAGCCTCTCTCCCTGCCTGCTCAGCTTGCTCCTACCAGCTCTTCGGCTGCTCTCCCTGCGAAGCGCAGGAAAATCAAGCGGGATCAGAGCCTCATGCAGCCGCATGGGGATGCCATGCATTCGCCAGGCGGTGCCGGCTTGCCTGTGGCTGGCATTGCAGCAGGTGGGCCGTCAGCCATGCCCATGCCGCTCGCTCCGCCATTCCACTCAGGTGGGGTTCACCCATCGTCTCGTTCCCCTGCTGTGGTCATGGCGGCTGGGGGTGGGCATCGTGGTGGGCCGATGCTTCATGTGACTTCAACGCTTGATGACCGTGCGGACAGACGGTGGATTGCTGAAGGTGGTGGCGGTGGCGGAGGTGGGAGCAGGAGAAGCGGCGAGGTTGAGCTGCCGCCGCCTTCACGAGGCGCAGGGCCTGCGAGGAGCTCCAGACTTGCTGGCAGGCTTGGAGAGAAGGATGGAGTGGGAGGGAGCTATGATCGTAGCGGTCCTGGTCAAGGAAGTGGAGTGCGAGATGAGGCGTGGGACGGTGACAAGGCGCGACGGGATGGTCGCATGAGCAACAGACGCCATTGAGCAAGGTCCCAGCCATTCAAATGAACAAAAGGTTGACCATGCTGATATTCTTGTTGGAACCAGCATGTCACAGTTATGGCGTAACTCAATTGATTCTTGTCCAAGCTGGATACGTAGTGGTGAATCGTCAGGATTGAGATACTAGTATCATGATGGATGAATACAATTAAATATGGTATGCTATTGGGAGCAAGAGTTAAGCTGCTAGCCAGGAAAGAGAGCTTGAAGCACATCAATTCCACGCTGCTTCACTCAGGTCTGCGAAGCTTGGTATGCAATGGTGGCTCCTTGTAGCTCATGAGAGTTCGGGCACGAAGGGCACGCTTTGGTGGCTCTGAAGGTTCCTTGACCTCATCGACTGTTTCACGAGCAAAGGAAGCTGATCGGTTGCTGGGTCTGCCAGCAGAGTTATCTGTATAGCTATGTGGACGCCTGCTCGTGGGGTTGTGTGTTTGGACCCTTGTGGGCCTGGAGTGAAAGTTGTTTGAGCAGCAACTCTCTGCATCAGATTCTGAGTCTTCGCGTTCCACCTGATCCTCTGCCTGCATCTTAGGTGGCTTGGGATTGTAGGTGGGTGGCCGCACACGAGATGCAGTAGGGTGTTCCTGCTCTGCGCGTTCTTTGACGGTCCCTGGCATCCTGTCAAGAATATTAGAACCTGAAAAATATTGAAACTGGAATCACCATGATGACCTACCTGGATAAAGGTACATTGATCTTCCTAATTCTTGCTCTGGTCAGTCCTGCATGTCCTGCCATTACAGGATCTCGCTGGCGATTGTCGTCGCGCTTCTGAAAATGTCAGGCAAACGAAATGAATAAACGGGCTTGACTGTTAACAACCAACGAACAAACTTGCATCTTCAAGGTCACACCTGCGGTGACGCCTTCTTCGTTGCAAGAAATTGTAGCTCCTGCATGTACATTTCATTAATATCTGGTTAACATACTATTGTTACAAGTAGCAGAAATGTGGTATACCTCAAGATTGTTCAGTCTTTCTTGTAATCTTGAATTCTCTTCCTTCGCCTTTTCAACCAGCCTCTCTGCTTCCTGCAGCTGAATATCAGAGAACTGTCCTACAGAAAGCAAGCAACCACAAAGCTATCACTAGCCTCACCTCCTTTTCACTCTTCAAGACTTTGATTAGCACCCTTTGCTGAATACTCTCATTGCGAAGCAGCTCAATCTACAAAGAAGATAAGGATCAGTTTCTTAAGTTTGAAACATCAACGGGGCTGAACCAATCTTACCTGAGCTTGCTGGTGCATCATTTCCTGAAGATAAAAACAATCAGACGGATCAGGCGTACTGCTCACGATGTCTGAACGGGTGGTCGTAACAAGCGTTTTGGTACCTTTTGCAACGAAGCATTTCTCTGTATGATGTCATTGTTGAGCAAAGAATGTCGTTGCATCATTGCCTTCAGTGCCTCCTGCGTGGTGCGAATCTGCTCACTAGAAACACTGAGTCAGCAACTTAAGCTCACTTCAGGCCGTCTTTAAAAGAAACAAAAAAAATGTACGTAAAAAAGAAAACGTTTTTTTTCTTACTCTCTTTCAGCCACAACCTTTTTCCACATGTCATTGACCTGTAAGAATGGGAGAAGAGTTTAGGCAGGTTGTTAGAAGGCTACAATCTGGCAGATTCTACGGTTTCCACCTTTTCGATTTCCACAAGGTTGTTGGCCAGGTTGTTGTTCAAAGGTCCTGTTGTTCCAACATAGCTTCTGTGGTTCGCCAAACCTCGAAGGGGACCGTTTTGTCTCAAAATAGGGGTCAGCGGCATGGCTCCTGGGCGCTTACGGCAGAACGACAACCGCCTTTCGCGGAACCTACGGCTTTAAATTGACGATGTCTAGCATATGCTTGATCGTAATCTGTATGACGCCCTTTTGTGTTCACGACGATATTTGACGACGCTTGCAGCCTGTTGCGATGAATGGAGATTTGAAGCTGAAGTGATGGGTTTGGTCTGGAGGTGTTTGGAGGAGTAGGCGCGTATTGACAGGGTTTCGTTCGAATCCGAACTGTCCTTCAAGCCTTGTCGCACGCCGAGAAACCCGTAAAATTGATACTGGGGTTGAACTGTGGAGTGTGGCTGGGGTTATTGAGGAATGGTAACTGAAATTCGCACCAGGCACACCATGACTCGCGGTTGAAAAAGCCTCAATCTGAATCGTTGAACAAGGTTCTCACGCAGCAGGTCTGGTCCGAACCGAAGTGGTGACCTGGGGGATATCTTCACCACCAAAAAATACCCGTTACAATGCATAAGGAGCATATTATGACAAAGTAACATACCTAATCCATATTCTCATAAGTGTTTTTATTAGTAGTCTTATAGACATTGACACGACCTCTTATCCTCTAATTCCACTGAAACTAAAGAACGAAACAAAGAATATGTTATAGCGACGCATACGCACCAGAACGATGGTACTTTCCATGTTGCGTGTACATGACTCGCTAAGGCGGCCCAATGCTTGCTGGTTTACAGTTTGGCTAGGTAAGGTGTATGGCGAGGACATGGGGGCCAACAATTGGCCTGACCCATTTGGCGACCAAGGCCCTTCGCGCTGACGTCACTCGCGCTTCCATCGCTGAAATTGTTGGGGAGGGCAATTTCCCGCACCGCTAATCGAGCTGCTCCCGCCAAGCCTATGAACGGTACTCAATGGCCTCATGACAGAACCTACTGTTCTTGGGGTCACCCCGAACCTGGAGCTAGGGTTCGGTAACGTCATCCAACATTATATGCGAGCAGTAGTTGTGTTCCCCAAAAACTATTGAAGACACCTAGGTGATCTCAATTTTGATCAGAAACCTCCCCTCTGGCAAACATTAACTTTGCTGAGAGTGTCTTCACATCACAAAAAGAATCAGCTTTGCTGAGTGCATGGCTGGCCATTGCCTATAATATTGTCTAAATCTGGATAAGGAGTAGATGAATGTATTCGCGATCGCGTTTCAACTAGCCCTGATTTATTTCAATCGCAGGAAGAAATGCCTTTCATTCAAGCTGTAAGCTCTATTTTAGCTAGGGAAGCCAGGCAGAAGATATACGAACCGCACAGAATTGCATCAGCAAATATTCGACCGCACCTCGCGGAAGCCACAGCGCCCTGCGCCTGCCTCATTGGGCCTAGTTTCCGGCGCCTCACGTCACATCACGTCAACAGTCCATCCAAGCCCCAACCCCAACCCAGCATCAACTCCTCTCCGTTCCTTTCCCTTTCCTCCAACAATTTCCTTGACTCGTTTGTTCGCGCGGTTCCGAAATTTGAGCACTCCAAAACCCGATACTTCAATTTACGGCGCTTCTGGCACGTCATTCACAACGCGTGACCAGGAGTCCCATCGCATGCAAAAATCGTGCTCGCTGTTCCATTCTGATCACCGTAGCGGCAACGCTTTATGTAATTTCCATCCACTCATTGACAACAGTCTTAACACTTCAACTAGTAGCACTTATTGTCACTTATTGACTATTTGCAGTAGGTGCTGCACTCGTATTCACTGCCGTCTTCAGACCGGAACTTCTTTGAAATTCCCTAACGCAATGGAAGCGGGCGGGGTGGCGGTGAGGGAGAACCGAATGGCGGCCTTCGCGGGGAAATGGGAGGCGTTCGGGCAGACCAAGGTGGCGGCGCTGAAGGCGGCTGTGGTGCAGGGCGTGGCGCAGAGCCAGCAGATGTTCGAGAAGGAGAAGGCCGCTCAGCTCACGCCACTCGAGCAAGAAGCCAAGGTGATTAGGAAAAGGGCTCGTTATGAGCTGGAAGGTGATTGATAGGTCTGGTACACAGCATACTAGGCCGTAGCGCAAGGAGTGGCTTGATTGCCAATGTTCGAGTAGGAGAAGCCTGTCCAGGTGACGCCTGCCTTTTAGCACTGTACCGAAAGGCGTGGCGCAGCGATTGGCGCAGCGAATGGCGCAACGAGTGGTGCCGGGAGTGGCGCAGAGCCATCAGATGTTCGAGAAGGAGAAGCCGGCTCAGCTCACGCGTGTCGAGCAAGAAGCCAAGGTGATGAGGAAAAGCATAGGGTGTATAGCAGAGCAGGTAGCATAGGGTGTACCGAGGCTCGACAGAAGGAGAAGTCATCTGACGAGCACCTGTTCGCTCATGCCTTCTTCGAGGACTCTCTATATGCATACTGTGTTCTCGTTTACAGCTACCGATTCCCATCGAGTAAGCATTTAATACGTTTAAACGAGTGCCACGACGTGAACGCGGCGTCACGTCGCATCGCGGAAACGGGGGGTGGTTATGAGAGGAGCAGGGCATGAGAGGAGGAACGGGGAGTGAAGCGTTCGACAGCGTATCAACTGTCCAGCAGACCTTATCATCTCCACTGCACAGAGAACAAAGCTAAATCGAAAAATCTGCACACGTGTTTGCTTGCACAAATGCCTATTTTCTCCGCTAACGTTTCCGAGCTCCGCACTCTCTCTTTTCGCTTCCGCACGCTCAGCCTCCCTGTGCAGTTCCCTCATGTGCACTCTCTCTACGCGATTTCGCGCTCTCATTTGTTCTCCCCGCGCGTTTCCGCGCTCTCATTTTCTCTCTGCGCGCTTCCATGTGCAGGTGAAGGAGCTGCGCGCATCGCTCGGTCCGCTCCCCAAGCGCGCGCAGATATTCTGCTCCGACGCGTGTCTGCGCCGATACCTGCGCGCGCGCAACTGGCACGTGCAGCGCGCCGAGCGGATGCTGCGCGACACGCTCAAGTGGCGCGACCAGTGCCGCCCGGAGGAGATTCGATGGGTACGTACAATCGAACGCGGCGTATGTGCATTCGCACGCGCGCACGTACACGCAAACATGCGTACGAACATCGTGAGGTGTGAGCACGTACGTACGCAGGGTGCGTAAGACAGATGCAAGCCGATGAAAATGCATACATCAGTGCAAATGCAGTGCATACTTATGACAGAAACATGCATGTATCATTGCTATCCTTCCCTTCATCTGCTTGTTCCCGCCATCCGCAATCCTATCACGCACTCGCTTTCACCACTCAAACGTCTCATCCGTGCCACTTTCAGTGGTGGTGGTGGGTGTGCTGGAACCACCAACTTTATAGTTTCGCCACCGCCATCCATCGCCCTCCCGTGTGCCCTTCCCTCTTCCTTCCGCATCATTCCCACCCTCAACTGTGTTTTATGGGCCGTGTCCTGAACGCGATTGCAGGCTGACGTGGCAGAGGAGGGTGCGACGGGCAAGGTGTACCGAACGGCATTCCAAGACAAACACGGCCGCCCAGTCGTGGTGCTCTCTGCCGGCCAGCAGGTGAGGTGCTTGCAAGATGAGGGCCTTGCGAGGTGCTGGAGTAGAGAGGGGCTGTGACCTGAGAGAAGGACGGGCAATCTATGCAGGAAGGTCAGAGAAGGTGCAGGATGGCGTTCTCTGCCAGCCACTGAGTGAACTAAATAGGGTTCTTCTTGGCCCATTCGAGTTCATTGAGTCAGTCTCTCGGCCACTGTGTACACCTCACCTCCTCCTCCATATCAGACTACCAGAGTTTCCAGAGGCTAACAACCTTCATCTGTGCACTCCCCTTGCTTGCAGAACACCAATAACCATGCGGGGCAGGTGCGGCATCTCGTGCAATGTCTTGAGAATGCCGTCATGAACCTGCCGGCCACTGCCCGCGAGCAGCAGCAGCTGCAGCAGCAAGATGGTGTGGAGAAGGGAGAGGAGCAGGGGGAGCAGGAGCAGATGGTGTGGCTGATTGATTTCCGCGGGTGGAGCATGCGCAAGGCCCCGCCGCTCAAGACGTCTCGCGAGGTGCTGAGCATTCTGCAGAGCCACTACCCGGAGAGGCTCGGCGCTGCTGTCATCTACAACCCGCCCGCCGTCTTTGAGGCCTTCTGGAAGGTGCGTGCAGCTCTCTAGGAAAGGTAGGGGGGCGGGGGAGGGGATGGGAATGGGGCGATGGGGCTCTTTGGGAATGGCTTTTGAGCCGACTTGATGGACGGCTCGGCGCTGTTGTCATCTACAACCCGCCTGCCGTCTTCGAGGCCTTCTGGAAGGTGAGGTAGTGTGTGGTGGGGAAGGTAAGATGGTGCATGTGGTGATGGAGCAGTGTTTAATCGAATTTTTGCCCAACCGTTCTCTTCACATTCAATCCATCAGGTTTCTCAGTCAACCCATCAAAACCTGGCACAGTGAACATACTGCCTCAGAACCCGTTTCTCTCCCACTTGACCTGCTCTACCCAACAGTTGATCCGGCCCTTCATAGATCCGGTGACATTCAACAAGATTCTCTTTGTCAACCCTTCCAAGCCCGACACGGTGAAGAAACTCGAGGGAATCTTTGACCTGGACTGCCTTGAAGAGGCGTTTGGGGGGCGGTCCAAGTGGACCTATGACCATGCGACATATGGCGAGATGATGGCACGGGATGACGAGAAGACGGCAGAGTACTGGGGGATAGTTGAGGGGGAGCGGTTGGGGCAGCAGCCGGAGTTTGTGGGGGATGAGAGTGGGGACGGTGTTGACAGCACTCAGGGTAGCAAGGAAAGTTCCCTCAGCAGCAGCAGCAGTTCCAGCAGCAACAGCGACAGTGGTAGTGGCTCTAACCTTTGGCTACCCATTGAAGTGCTTGCTCCCACTGATCCAAACACACCTCTTCCGGTCCAAGCACCTACACAAACGAATGGAATGTTCACGACTCTCCGTAAGATGAGCCTGAACAAGTTCGTCAAGCGACCAACGTGGCCCCAATAACACTCAACTAGTGGCTGGTGAGGTGTAGCTTTTGGCTTTCTAGACGGTAGCTTAGTTTGAGCAACATTTTAAATAGCACATGTTCAGAGCTCCTCTGTCTCCGGTCAACCTTCTCACTGATGCGCGTGCCATTTGCAATGTATGATGGATGAGATGCAATGCAATACCGCAGCGAATGGTAGTGGTTACCGTACTAAAAGGGCAGTGGGAACTGTGACAATGATGGTGGCTGGCCAGGATGCTGAATGTATTGTACAAGTGAAGGCATCATGCAAAATTTACCATAGAATGTACGAAGACGGGCAAACCACTACAAAGTACAGTAACCGCATAAAACGGAGAACACATTTCTCCTGCCAACACAGAGATCAGGAGTGCATTGGTACCGCTAAACCTCCAGCATATTCAAACAATCCAGCACCTGCCCAACCCATCCCCATCCATCCACTCACCTCTTCCCCCCAAAGGATCCATTTCCCAGGATTCTACCATCAACACATCCACTGTCCAGATTTGGAATCTTGAGGATTGTCTCATCTTCCTCATCCCCAAACTTCGGGCATGCAGTGATCACGAGAGTCCTGAGGCTGGTGAGACTGCTCAAGGACTGGGGCACACACATCAGGTTAGGCCACGAACTCAAGGTCAGCCAATGCAGCTGTGAGAGGTTCTTCATCTCCTGTGGAAGCCAGTACAGGTCCGGAAAGCCAAACAGGAAGAGCCTTTTCAGATTCGAAAGCTGACAGAGAGACGACATGAAGTCTTTTTGGTCGTTGCCGCACACCATGCAGTTGGCTGGCCACCCAAACTCAAGAGTCGTGAGGCAGCTCCAATGCCGAGTCAGGGATGGAGACACTAGTCTGACGTTGTCACAGTAGTTGGTGAAAGTGCGAAGATTCTTGAGCTTGGAGAGGGTATCAGGAAGGTAAGTAAGGCTTCCGAGTTGGCTCAGGTCGAGATGCTCCAGAGATGACAAGCGACCCATGCTCTCTGGAAGGTCCGTGAGCCCTGGGCAATCCTTGAAGACTAACACGCGGAGGTAAGAAAGATCGCAGAGAGAGTCAGAGAGCGAAACAAAGTCTGAACAATCTCTGATAGTTAGCGACTTGAGAGAACCGAAGCCCGACACTGCGTTTGGAAGGGATTCAAAACCTTTGCAATACACGAGCTCAAGAACTTGCAGAGAAGCAAGCTCGAAGAAAGAACTCGGGAGTTCGGAGAGGGGATTGCCATTTAGGTAAACCTCTCGAAGGTTCCGAAGCTGGCCGATGGTGTTAGGAAGAGGTATTAAGCTGCCCACATCACGAATGCTAAGTTTGACCAGTGACTTCAGCCCACCAAGCGAGACAGGTAGACGGTCGAACGTATCACAAATGCTTACTAGATGCAGCTCGGTCAATCTGGTGAGCTGAGCAATCGATTCCGGGAGGTGGTCAATGCACACAATTTTGAGTGTCAGCTTAGTCAGGGATCTTAGCTTGTCAAATTCATCAGGCAGACAGCTGAAATCCACATTTAGGTTGACCTCCGTCAAGGATGAAAGGCCGAAGAAGGATGGTGGCAAATCACAACCGTATTCGTAGACCGTTATCATGGTAAGCGAGAGGTACTGCAACGCAGTGCAGCCTGTGAAAATGGCATCTAAACCTTCATACGTCGCCCCTGAATAATCTCCGTTGTTGAGGTCAAGATAGATCAGCCGTGGACAGACAGATCCTAGGCCACGGAGGAAGTCGTCATTGTTCCTGTCAAGAACGCACTTGTTGATCGTGAGAGAAGTTAAATGTCTGAACTGAGAAAGAGATTCCAGGAGAGCAGCATCTGCTGTAACCCTGGGCGGTCTGTTGGAGATGGAGGTCTGTGCAAGGTAAGCGAGGCGATTCCAGCGTTTACAGACGAGAGCATGATCAAAGTAGCTGGGTGACTGCTTGTTCAGACAACGGAAGATGAGGCAGATGAGGTCGCGCGGTAACCGATTCAATAACACTTTAGACACACGTCTACGGCGATGCGGGACTGGGGCTAGGGACAGTAAATCTCCTTCAGCACCGGACATTGTTAGCACGTTGCTGCGAACTAAGGCCAATCAATCGACGGGAAATCTAGATCCTCTGGTCGAGTAATGAGAATTGGAATTTAGAAATACTAGAGTACACAGGGTAGTAGAGTAGCGGTGCTACCTCCATGACAGGCTAGATCTGGAAGGAGCTTGCCTTGAGTTGAAGTTGCTCAGCTTGGCAAAACCCGTACAGCACTGAGCTCGGAGCACACACTGGAGTTAGCGCTGGATCTGTCTGCCTTGGTTTCGCTGCGTTCAATTTCGACTTGTGTTACCGTTCCGTTCAGTGTTTTGCGACTGATTATGTCTACAGACGAAGTCCAAAACCTTTCGCAAAAGATACACTTCGAAACAATCGGAATCCAGAACTGAACACGGTAACTCAGTTCCATCACCTTCAGCTGCGACTGTCAAGCACACATTCTGGGTACCTTCAGCGTCTCAAGACAAAGGTGGCTCAGATCAAGTGCCGTAAATCGTGCGGTTACCCGCAGATGTGGTTACCACCAATGATGTGTACAGAAGGCCTCTTTCGCTTCCACTTCATCTCGTTGCTACCATAGGGTACACTCGTAATTGAGAATGGTAGAAGCCACGGTCTTCTTTGTGCACCATAACGGTGGATTTTGAGTCAGCTCAAAGTTCATGGCGGCGAAGACGACGAAGCTTCGTTCCTCTTTACCACCTCGGAGGTCGCAAATCTCTTCTTCTTGCCTTATCTTGAGGGCCAAAAATCTGCGACCGCAGTAGGCTGTGGTCGCAGCAAGCCGTCTCCTTCCGTCATCCCGTCTCCGTCGAGGGATTCGCACATCTCCATCTCCGTTTCTCCGCTCTCACTCTCTCTAATCGTTTCTCCGCTCTCATTCCCTCTGTCCGTTTCCCCGCTCTCATACTCTCTGTCTGTTTCTCCGCTCCCACTCTCACTCCTGCTGCGCGCTTCCCCGTGCAGGTGAAGGAGCTGCGCGAACCCCTCGGAGCCCTTTTAAGAATTCTCAGAAGTGACTCCCTCTTACTTTTACGCCCAAAATGCTTTTTCTCTCTCACTCGATCTTTCTCTCTGCGCGTTTCCCCCTGCAGGTGAAGGACCTGCACACATCCCTCGGTCCGCTCCCCAAGCGCGCGCAAATATTTTACTCCGACGCGTGCCTGCGCAGTGGCGCGACCAGTGCCGCCCAGAGGAGATTCGATGGGTACGTATAGTTGCACACGCATGAGTACACTTGTACGCGCGTACGTACACTCGTATGCGCGTACGTACATCTTAAGCATGTAAGCACGCACATACACACATGTGCACGTGCGCGTAACGTTCCTTCCCGCCATCCGCTTGTTCCCGCCATCCGCAGACCTATCTCGCACTCGTTCACACCACTCAAACGTCCAAATCATGCCACCCTTGTGTGCTGGAACCAAAATTAACGCATTTTTTCCTTCCCGTTCGCCACCGCCCCACTCCCGTGTGCACTTCCCCCTTCCTTCCACGTCATCCTCATCTGGTACACGAACCTGCGTTTTGTGGGCCGTGTGCTGGACGCAACTGCATCTTTTTGCGCTTTGTGGGCTGTGCGCCGGCGCGATTGCAGGCTGACGTGGCGGATGAGGGCGCGACGGGCAAGGTGTACCGTACTGCATTCCAGGACAAACACGCCCGCCTGGTCATGGTTCTCTGTGAGCCACTGTGTGAGCTGAATAGGGTTATAACTAGCCACTGTGTGACCCTGTAATGGTCAGATTCAAGCTGATTGATCCGGTCTCTCACCCACTGCATACTCCTCGCCTGTGTACCAGTGCCTACGTAGTCGTACAGTGCAACAATCATCGATCTTGCATTCCCCTTGTTGCAGAACACCAGCAACCATGCAGGGCAGTCCTTACACACCCCACCACCTCCCTCGTACACTCCCATTGTCGCAAAACACCAGCAACCATGCAGGGCAGGTGTGGCACCTGGTGCACTGCCTAGTCAATGCCATCATGCCGTCATGAACCTGCCCGCCACTGCTCACCACTCTCAAAGCGCCCCTCCTCTTGCGCCCATTCCCCTTGCTCACAGAACACCAGCAAACACGTGGGGCAGGTGCGGCATCTGGTGCACTGCCTTGAGAACGCCTCATGAACCTGCCTGCCACTGCCCGCGAGCAGCAGCAGCCGCAGCCGCATGAGAACGGCAGGCAGGGAGGACAGCAAGACGAGCAAGACGTCTCGCGAGGTGCTGAGCATTCTGCAGAGCCACTACCCGGAGAGGCTCGGCGCTGCTGTCATCTACAACCCGCCTGCCGTCTTTGAGGCCTTCTGGAAGGTGCGTGAGGATTTTGGGGAAGGTGAGGTGGTGTGTACGGATGGTGGGATGGTGCATGGGGCTCCTTGGGAAGAACTTTTGAGTCGACTCCAAGGCTGGCGTGGTGCTGCTGTCATGTGCAACCCGCCTTTTTGCTTTGAAGCCTTTTGGGACGTGAGGTGGTGCGTGCGGCTCCATGGGAATGGTGAGATAAACATACCAGGTCTCTGTTCTTTTGTTTATCCGCTGTTTTTCATTTATCATTTTCTCTCTCTTCTTCGTTTCCTTCAACACAGTTTTCTCTGCCCTCTTGTTTTTTGCTGTTCATTGCATTTGCAGCCAGCGTGGGTGGTTGCAGAGTGCTGCTGCCATGTTCAATTTTCATACTCATACTCACAATCATGCAACCCATTTTTCGCCTATCTATTCTGCTTTCCCACCCTAACAGGTGATCCGCCCCTTCATATACCCGGTGACATTCAACAAGATCTTCTTCATGGATCACCTTGAGGAGGTGTTTGGAGGCCGGTCTAAGTGGACCTATGACCATGCGACATATGGCGAGATGATGGCTAGAGATGATGAGAGGACCACAGAGTACCGTACTGGGGGATAGTGGAGGGGGAGCGGTTGGGGCAGCAGCAGGAGATTGTGGGGGATGAGAGTGGGGACGGTGCTGACAGCACTCAGGGCAGTGAGGAAAGTTCCCTCAGCAGCAGCAGCAGCAGTTCCAGCAGCCTCAGCAGCAGCACCAGCAGCAACGGCGATGGTGACGGCGGCGCTAACCTTTGGTTACCCATTCAGGTGCTTGCTCGCACTGATTCGAACACACAGCATCCGATCCAAGCATATGTGCAAACGAATGGAGTGCTGACAAATCTCCATAAGATGAGCCTGAACAAGTTCATGAAGAGGCCAACGTGGCCTCAATAACACACTGAGTTCTTGGTAAAGTGTGGTGGTTATCGACATTTTACTCTGCATAAGGTTGGATACTACCGGTATGTTGTAGGACATGTTACCGTACTTTAGTAAAATGACCCGTCTGGCTTTAAGACCGGGTCCTGGCTCCTTGTCTGATTGTCAGACGAAAGCTGTAACATTGTCTAGCTTTTCAGACGAATGCTAAGTTCTTGTCTGAGATTTCAGATGAAGATATATAGCTAGCAAGCAATGTTTTTCCAAACAAAAGTTTAATAAATTTAAGAACGATCAGGTTACAGCCATCAACGGTCTAGTCACTAGAATTTGGTCTTGTGAAGACTGGGGTTTCGGGTTCGAATCTTGTTGCCAGATTCGGCCAGACAGGCGCCTGTAGAACCGCGAAAGTTTTGCCTTCAGACGAGAAAAGACTCGATATCTGCTGTCTCAGACGAACTGTATAAGGATGTCTAAGAATTCAGAAACATACAAAACCTTTGTCTTAAAAATCAGATGAGTTTAAACGACATGTCTAGGCCATCAGATGAACCATAAAAAACGTGTCTGAAATCCAGACAAACAGACAAGAAATTTCTGATAACGTAGGCCCTGGTGTCAATAATGATTTTCATGACGTCATTGCCTTGCGGCATGCAATGAGATGAAACAGGAAAAGGTGGACAATACCTACCCAGGCAATGAAAATAGTGACAATAATGATGCTGATAGCGACAGTGAAGACATCCAGCCAGGGCATGTCAACATTGACCATCCTAAGTACGAAGACATGAATCACTACAAATGTAAAACAAGCACATTCCTCCCACAATCCTGCATTAAGCACTACTGCATATACCATCCTTTTCTACTCACTCCCCCCTTCTCAAATGATCCACTTCCCAATACTCTACCGTCAATGCACCCACTTTCCAGATTTGGAATCTTAAGAATTGTCTTGTCTTCCTCATCCCCAAAGTTCGGGCATGCAGTAATCACGAGAGTGTCAAAGCATATGCATGTTCTATATGTGTAGGCTGTAGTGGGGTAGCCAATATGGGGTACAGCCCCTTTTAGGGTTTCATACTTGTACCCAACTCTTTCATAGTTCATTCATTCCTGTCTCTAGATTCTGACATGGTTTCAGAGCAGTAGGTCCGTAGGACCGTTTTTTTTTTTTTTTTTTCGGGCCCACCTACCGCTACCCCACGACTGTGACTGTGACTGTGCCTGTGACGTGCTGCGCTGCGCGCGCCGTCTGCCTGCTGCCTACTGTCTGCTGACTGCGCGGTCTGCTGCTGCTTAGAGTGCGCAGACCTAATTCCTGCGCGCGGATTGATTTTTGCCCCACGCGTCGCCCACGCTGTCCGAGTCGCGCCTCGGCAGCCCGCGCGCGGCTCGCTGCAGCCCCGCGCGTCGCGACCGCTGCCTGCGCGTCGCGCTGCAGCCCCGCGCGCCGCGCCCACTGCCCGCGCGTCGCGCTGCAGCCCCGCGCGTCGCGACCACTGCCCGCGCGTCGCGCTGCAGCCCCGCGCGCCGCGGCTGCCGTCCTCGCGCGCCCTGCCGCCGTCCTGCCTCTGACGCGGCCGCGCCCTACCCCTGACGCGGCCGCGCCCTGCTTCTGACGCGGCCGCACCCTGCCGCAGACGTGGCCCCGCCCGGACGCTGCCACGGCCCCGACCTGCCGCTGACGCGGCCCCGCCCTGCAGCTGCCGCGGCCCCGACCTGCCCCTGACGCGGCCCCGCCCTGCAGCTGCCGCGGCCCTACTCTGCAGCCGCTGCTGCGGCCCCGCTGTCGCCGCCGTCGTGCGCCTACCCTGCCGCCGCCCGCCGAGCGCTGGCCCTGCCCGCCACTGGTGAGCACCTGCCTTGTTCGCGCGCTGCCGCGCCCTCTGCCTGCCTGCCTACCTGCCTGCCTGCCTGCCGCACCTGCCGCGCCTGCCCTGCCCGCGCTGCTGCTGCTACTATTGCTACTATTACTACTAGCGGTGGCCAGATGCAGCTCCAGCGACGTCCGCGCGAGTCTCTCACGCCTCAGCAGCTTCGTGAGTGGTACGCTAGTTGGGGTTGTGGCGGTAGCCGTCGTGGCTGTCGCCCTGGAGCTGGTCGGTCGGGCGAGTCTGGCAGTGGCCAGCTGCAGCTGCAGCGGCGTCCGCGCGAGACACTTACGTCCCGGCAGCTTCACGAGTGGTACGCTCAGAGTCGAGGGTATCGGAGTACCGTTCGCTGCCCGTACGTCCTTCGCACAGGTGATCGGGCTGGTCAGGCTTGCGGGACACTTGGTCACACCCAGTCCCGCTACTTCGCCCGTCTGAGCGACGCCTGGCGTACCGAGTTTGGCGACGAGGCTGAGCTCCCCACCTGGCTGGAGCTGCTTGGGCAGAGGGTAGATATCTTTGCTCTTGACTATGATGCTATTCTTGTCAGAGGTCCACTGGTGATCCCCGATTGATCCTAGGGAAGGGTTACAGGCTCGTTGTCCTGGGGGGTTATGGGCGCACTGACCCGCTACTTAACAAGCCCTCTTATCCCAATGGTCTAGTGGTTGGGATTCTGACATGCTATCAGAGCGAAGGTCTCGGGTTCGAATCCCAGTGTGTGCACTTCGGGCATCCCAGTGCGGGGGGGTGTCAGAGGTCCACTGGTGATCCCCGATTGATCCTAGGGAAGGGTTACAAGCTCGTTGTCCTGGGGGGTTATGGGCGCACTGACCCGCTACTTAACAAGCCCTTTTATCCCAATGGTCTAGTGGTTGGGATTCTGACAATTCTCACTGCCATGTATGCATTGCCTACTAGTGCTGACCGTGCCTGTTCCCTGTGCGTACCGCCTGACCCAGGTATAGAGCCTGCTGCCCTAGGTGCTGGTGAGGCTGCTGCTCTAGGTGCTAGTGCGTCTCCTGCGCTAGGTGCTGGTGAGGCTGCTGCTCCAGGTACTGGTGAGTCTGCTCTCTCTGGTACTACGCCTGCTGAGGCCTTGTACACCTTCACACTTGACTCAGGTGCTTCCCGCTCCTTCTTTCGCGACAGCACCACCCTCACGCCGCTTCGTCGGCCGGGCAGACCCCTCTGGGGGTCCAGTCCTTGCGCACTCCTCCACTGTCCTGCCGTGTCCGGCGGTCCCGTCTGGCTCCCTGTCAGGTCTTCACCTCCCCTCGTTCTCTACGAACTTGGTGAGTGGAGCTGACCTACAGGATGTGTGGGTTGACCAGTTCACCCCTGGAGGTCAGCGTGTGACCCACTGTACGTGCTCCCGGACTGGTCGGCACCTGGCCACGTTCACCCGGGAGCCTGGCTCGAGTCTGTACACACTGACCACTGTGTCCCCTCATGTAGTTGCGTCTGCGTCTGCGTTTGCGTCAGGTCAGCTAGCGGCCCCCTGCTCGTGTCGCGCTTTGTCGCACCAAACCCTCCTTTGGCACCACCGCCTTGGTCACCCCTCGGTGCAGCGCCTTCGTAGCATGCACCGCCGTTTCCTTGTCTCTGGACTTCCAAAGACTCTGCCTCCTCTACCACCCTCGCCTGCTCCTCCCTGTCTTCCCTGTGTCGAGGGGCGGCAGCGCGCCGCTCCTCACTCCTCCTCGTTCCCTCCCACAGAGGCTCCCTTGCAGACTCTCCACCTGGACGTGTGGGGCCCAGCCCGCGTCCGTGGACAGGGCCACGAGCGGTACTTCCTGCTGGTCGTCGGCGACTACACGCGTTACACCACGGTCTTCCCCTTGCAGCGCAAGGGGGATGTCCCTGATGTTTTGATCCCCTGGATCCGCGCTGTTCGTCTCCAGCTCCGCGAGCGGTTCCAGTCGGACTTTCCTGTCCTGCGTCTGCACTCTGACAGAGGTGGTGAGTTCTCCTGAGACCTCTTGGCAGCCTACTGTGCGGAGCACGGCATCCGCCAGACGTTCACGCTTCCGGCCTCTCCGCAGCAGAATGGGGTTGCTGAGCGCCGCATTGGCTTAGTCATGGAGGTCGCTCGTACCTCCATGATCCATGCGGCTGCCCCCCATTTTCTGTGGCCGTTTGCGGTCCGGTACGCCACGCATCAGCTCAACCTCTGGCCCCGTGTCTCCTTGCCGGAGACCTCGCCCACACTGCTGTGGACGGGGAAGGTTGGCGATGCGTCGCGTTTCCGGGTCTGGGGTGCTCGTGCCTTTGTCCGCGATACCACCGCGGACAAGCTCTCCGCCCGCGCTGTTCCCCGTGTCTTCCCCTCTCAGGACGTCACGTTCGACGAGTCGGTTCCCTTTTACCGTCTCTTCCCCTACCGCACTGCCCCTCCCCCCCCCCCGCCGCTCTTCCTCGCTCCAGGTGCTCCCCAGGTAGACCCCCTCCCCGCTCCCGGTCCTGCTCCCTTAGGTGTGTCTCAGGTAGACCCTCCTCCCTTGACTGCGCCGGTTGAGGTCACTGGTGACTCGGGTCCTGCTGAGGGTGGTCCTGCTCGGGATGCTGCTTCTGGGGGTGCTGAGCCTGGGGGTGCTGAGCCTGGGGGTGCTGAGCCTGGGGGTGTGGAGCCTGGGGGTGCTGAGCCTGGGGGTGCGGAGACTGGAGGTGCTGAGCCTGGGCGTGAGGAGTCTGGGGGTGCTGAGCCTGGGGGCGCTGAGGCGGCTGGTGAGCAGTCTCCCTGGAGCGGCCGTCTCCGTAGTCGCTCCGCTGGTGCCTCGCCGTTGCACTCTCGTCGTCGACTCCCTCTCTCCCCACAGCA